TTGGAATCCTTTGACAGGAAGTCAGCACGGAACTTGCACCATTCAACAAAGGCTCTTGTGGTGAATCTTCGCTTAAGGTATGTCAGTTCTCTATAAATTGTTCAAATTCATCATTCTCAAACTCCGTCCATTGGTGACCTGATTCAATGTTATTCAGGGGCTGCAATTCATTACTGAAACGACAGAAACAGTCGAGAAATCCGTCTCGGACACAAAGAAAGGTGGTATCAGTTTTGCCAATGAAAAAGGCCCCATCTCGAGAACAAGAGTACGCAGATCATTTCCGGTTAACATTTCTCTGGGCGAGGACATCATGGGTTAGGTGTGAGATTAACCCTTTGTTTCACCATGATTGATTGGCTGGCTCGTTGCCTGCTTGGTTCTGCAGGACTGAAATTCGTGAGAACTTCTTCCCATGGGAAACATAAAGTTATCTCAATTCTTTAAAGGGTCATTTACAATTTTATAGGTACAAAATGACGGGAAACAACTCAGTATTAATCAAACAAGACAATGCACCGGCGGTTTTATTTTATTTATTGATGATAAAAGGAAACAGAGAGGTTGGAGGAAAAAAAAATGAAAGGGTCAAAATCCCATGTCCACGTAAAAGTAACAGTTCCATTGATTCTAGGATCTCTCTTGTATATATGACTTGAAAACAGCTCGTTTGGTTCGTGGAATCAATGAGAATGTAATAGAATAGATTGTAATGTAATAGTGATTAGGATAAGCTTGTTGGTACAATATTGAAGGGGGTATGTTTTTAATATTTTCTTAAAGATTGATAAATCAAAAAGACAAAAATGCCCTTTCAACGAAAAAGAAAAGGAAAGGCCGTTCCTCCTTCCGGTGCTTCTTTCTCATACCTAATCAACTCAGAAAATCTCATCAATCTTCATACAAAATCAGGAATTGTTCATAAAAAGCAGCAATGAAGAAAAGTTCAGGCTTGTTTGGAGCTGTGATTTATAAGTACATTGCCATAAATTGAGATAAAACTTTTTTAACATGTTTATTTTATACTTATTTCATAGTTTATAAATCATAATTAAAAAGTTGTTTTTAAATTATTCCAAGTAATTCCTATGGGATTTATAAATGAGTAAGGAATCGGTTGGTTGAAAATGGAGATTTACCAATGGATTTGGTGGTAAATGTTTTACAAGTTCTATGATCTTTGAGAATGGGTGGGTTAGCAAGCAGATTTGGTAGTGGACTCGAGTATTGGAGGAGAAAAGGTCGTTGACCGTCGCTGCGGGGTTTGATGGCATTTGATCTTGGTTGATTTGAATGATGGTGTCCGATGGCATTTGAAGTTGTTGATCTGGATGAAGGTGGCAGTAGGGTATCGTTTGCTAGAGTTGGTTTGAGATGAGGAGAAGAAAGATGATGGAAGCCTGGGAAGGGTGAGGAGCATTTGAATAAAAATTGGATTATAGCATATGGGAACGGGGATTACATAGCCCCCCCCCCCATGTGGGGATGCATTACATTGAAACCAACCAAACAATAGGAATATAGGCAAACACCATAATTACATATAATCCCCTTTTATGCATAATCGAATTAGGTCATTAATAATTGGGTTAAAGTGTAAAATTTATCTTGAAAGTTTGCACTTTGAAATGCTGGGTATCCGAAAGTATTTTTTACCTGAATATCGCCTTAGTCGTTATCTAGGTTAAATTTGATCGTTAGATGACCAACTATGTTGAGTTGGTGAAGTGCAAATTTGCCTTAAAAATTTTTATTGAAGAGCGCTTGGTATCCGGAAATTTTGAAATTGTAATAATGTGGCCCCAACTATTATCCGTTTTAAATTTGACTATTAATTAACTAAATATATTGAATTGATAGGTCCACGTGTGATCCACTTTATTTTTTTAAGGTGAAGATTTAGTACTAACTCTGGAAAAATCATTGCTTCTATGCTTTCCAAACCTGTGGCTATGTTTGAAATCGACCTCATCATTTATATCTTTTAAAAATTCTTGCAAGATTCTTCTCTACATATATTATTTACTATATTTTTATGCTTTACTTTTGTTCTTATAAAACGTACTAAACTAAGAACGAATGAAGAAATAATAGATGTGTGAAAAGAATTGTTTTTGTGTTGGAGAAATGGCATAAGATTATGAATAAAGAATGAAGTGAATCACACATGAACCTATCAGCTCAGCACATTTGGTTAGTTAATAGTCAAATTTAATATGGATAACATCTAAGGCAAATACTGCTACAATTTAAAACTTTTGGATACCCAACGTTTTTGAACAAAAACTTCTTAGACAAATTTGCGTTTTAACTCTAAAAAGAAAATGATGTGAACAATACATGGACTAGTCAACTCAGCATAGTTGATTAACTAACAGTCAGACTTAACTTGGCTAACGGGCAGGGAAAAATTGCTATGGTTTGAAAACATCCAAGGCAATATTGAATCAACAAATACTTTCGGATACCTAAGGCTCCCAAACACAAATTTTTGGAGCAAATTTTCACGTTATCCGTTAATAATTTACACGACCAGGCCATATACCAGATTCTTTTGAACACTAATCTTTGGATGAACTCTCAAGACGGGTGCTCAAGGTTTGAGAAACTAAATCGAATTGGAAATCCGCTGGTCTGTTTGGTAAATCAACGAACTAGACTCTAAACTCGCCAAATTGGCTTGAATTTTGAACGTGAGAAAAGACGGGTTTCTACTTGAATTTGGATCTCCTCGCGTTACGGCAGGAAAATGAGCATTCTTCGGCATAAAATTTAACAATCCAGTAAGAAGTATGAATGGCGCGGTTCCATTTGTACAGGCCCAAAAAAAAGTTCCACTTGCAATAATTTGATTTATTTTTTCATAAAAGAGTGCATCTAAATATAAATTCTACATAGTGACGTGACAATTAATATTAATTTGAAGAAATAATTTTGAGGAGACTGTTCTGTGAAGTTCATCTGTAGATTGAGTAGGTGTTTACGCACAGAAACATGAGCAAAAATGAAATCAAATAATGGTTTTAAAAATAATTTTATGATATACGAAACAAGCATTTTCCTACTCTTAAAATCACTTTTAAAAAGTACTTTTATATAAGTCGACATAAAACTTATCTTACATACTTATTTTATATACCATATAATTAATTTTAAAATTATAGTTTGATGTCCACTTAAACATCTTCAAAATAAATATATGAAAAAATTTTAACTCGGAAAACATTTTTTAAGTGCTTTTATTGACTTCAAACACCGTGATTTTCTTATCTTTTTAGATCTGTTGGGCTTAGGCCCCGTTTATCACCCAAACAAAAAACCTCATTAGTGACTCGACGATTTTGAATTTGAAAATAAAAAATTTTCAATGCGGAGATGAACAGAGGAGGAGTGTGAGTTTATAAACCCCTCAATTTCTTACTCGGGAAGCAAGAGTGACTAGGTGAAGATGTTATTTTACTTGTATTTTATAATTTGTGTTGTATTAGCCGCAATACACCCTTTAATCCTTTCAATTCTTACAATTTTTCTATCAAACCAAACCAGCTTGTCCCCCTCGAAGCTACTACGAATGATATGCTTATTGTATAGAATCTTGAATAAAAAGTATTACGTATCACTTATATACACAATATAGCTCCCTTTAAATTATATCTTAGTTCAAAATCATTTTAAGGTATTCTTTATTGATTTATTCATGAAGTCATAATGGTATTTCCATAAAAATTAACAGTGGGTAAATAAAGAAGAGGTATACTCTAATTACTAGGAGTATTGATAACTTAAAAATTATGATGCATGCTTCCGTGCTTCCTAATTCAATGTTATTTATAAAAATATAAGGAAATCAATTTTCTTTATGAGTAAGAATATTCTAATATTTATTTTTGTATATCTTAATAGATAAATTTAATTAACTTAATTCAGAAATATTTTATTTAAGCAGTAATTGTGAAGTATCCAGTTGTAACTTGCAAACCATGAAGCTCAAACATAAATGTTGAAAAATTAATTACAACTCAGTTAAGTCTTAGAATCTTAGCTGCATATATTGAAATTAATAGCAAATGAAATTATAAATTGGGAATCAAATCAAAACATTTAAAAGAATTAACCAATCATTTCTTTTTACTTTTAGAATTGAGTAATTTGGAATTTATACTTGAGATTTTAATATTATAACTTACAGTATATTTGCAATTAATATTTCATTATTTACAAATGAGTTTTTAAAATTGGGAAATTAAATTTTTAGAAGTTACAAAACTTTCATCATTTAAAAATGAATTACAACTAATATTTTAGGATTTATAATTGAGTTCCTTACATTTACAATTGATCTTAGTTAATTTGAAATTAGGATACTAACTCTGATCCTTAATACAAAAGTTTTTTTTTTACTTTTATTTTAATCCTAAATATAAAATCTCAATCCACTTTGTCTCTTATATTTATTTTTTTAAAGTAATTTTTATAATAATGGTAGTTCTAACCAATACTAGTACACTTGATCAATAAAAATATTTTAAGAAAGATAATACATATTTATTATAAATAACTAATTTAATTAATTTTTTTAATCTATTTAAATTAGTCTAGTCTTCTATCCGATTTTGTAATTTCATGATTCAATACTGTGTAATCTATTCAATCTTGAATAATTTTGAACATGCAGTGACAAAATATTGATATTGACAGAAAGGAATCAAATAAAAATAAAATGGAAATCACCTCTGCCCGCGTCAACTTCGCGGATGGTCTGCTCGAGTTCGTTAGTTTCAACAATGCCCGCTTTGACCCTGAGGAGCCATGCCACGCTAGCGATGGAGGGGACGAGCGACGTGGCATCAGACGTAGAATCGACTGCGTAGAAGGTTCCAGCAGCTCAGGAAGCTTAAATAGTCGAGCGTCGTTAAGGAAATCTCTCTCTCAGTTCTTTTTCTCAGTCTGTATTTAACTGTGTTTATCTTCCTTCTTCGTGAGTCTCTGAATCTGTTCTTGTGTCAATTGAATTCCCATCGATTTGTTGTAGCTGGAAGTGATATCGACTGATACTCAGCATTCCCGATAAGCTTGAGTTCGTTCAGATCATTCGCGGAAAATGGCATCACGAGCGGTTCAAAACTCCAAAATTCTTATCCTTGTCCCAGCTAGTGAGCGTTCTACTTCATATCTCATTCTTAAATTCCTCCTGTTTGATTTAGATTGTCGGTGAATTTCCGGCCAATTCAGCTCCTAACTTTGTTTTAGCCGTGTGATAAACTCCTGAAGTCTATTTTGTTGATTAACTTGCATGACACTGGAGATTCTCTTTATGGTTTAAAGACTGAACAAGAAGCTCGCAACTTCAATCCCTGCAGAACTTTTATACAGAAAAAGAAAACTTTTCCTTTTTGTCCGTCTCATTACTTACATGACACTTTTTGTTTGTCTCATTGCTAATTTGCTCAAGAAGGAAAAAAAAAAAAATGGTCCCTCTTCATTCATCACTGTTCATTAACTGATGAGAACTTCTGCCCTTTTCTTGGTACAAGTTCTGTTCTTTCTTTACTACTTTTTAGGTTGGTCTGGCTCTGTTGTGCGGAGGAACCAAAGGTCTTCTGATCTCATTGCACAACTTCAGGCATTACTCAAGGATTATAATGAAGCTGAGTTTTTACCCGGTCGATGTGACACTGCAGCCATTGCCGCTCTGGTATTGCAAAATTATCAATGTTATCTGGTGGCTTCCTTGTCTTCGTGAAATTCTGACTATTTTCTGTTGAGTACAAGTCAATGGGGCGGGCCATAAGAAATTGATTTTGGGGGAACTAAGTGAAGACTGTAAGATATTTGTTTTCATATGAACGGCAGATCCATGAACTAAAGTTGGGGTAAAGAAAGCCGATTCTAATTCAAAAGAACCTTCCAATTCCTCTGAATGTCCGCAAGGGGCACCCCTCCCCCTTCTACACAAAAAATAGAAATAGAAATAAAAGAACAACCATTGGTAGAAATCCATAAATGGAACGTGAAAACAGTTCTCTTTTAAAGGGGATGTGGCAGAAACCTGTAATGAGTACAAGGCTGGAGAATGTTATGTTCCCATTGTTTCCTGAAACCCGTAAACTTCATGGCTACAAAGGCCTGTCAATCAGATGGACAAACCCAAATCTCATCAAAGCAACCAAACATATATTCCAAATCTGCTAAATAAGGACTTATTGTCTTTACTTCGACAACTTGCTTTGTCATAGCTAATGTTAGAAGCTAGCTCAGTGGATCAGCTCCACCCTGACCTATTTCCCATATGAAGAAACCTTGTGATGAATAGGACAGGAGTATCTTTGGTGATCTATTTGAAGGAAGAAACCTTTATTTTACCCCATAACTTCGGATTTGATTACTGTTTCATTGCAGGATAATTCATCATAAAACTTATATCTTTAGAGGGAATATATCAATTAATGCACATCAAACCTGCCTGTTTTAACTTCAGATTCGGCAGCTAGCTAAGGAGATTAGGGAGCTGACCTTATCCAATCCTGCAGTCACCTTCAACTGCAATTGTTCCTGTAATGGTACGTAGAATGAATTATGTTTCATTTTGTCATGAGTTTTTCATTTTTCCCCCTTTCATGTGTTTGTGCTTTCAAGGCCTCAAACAAGTAACAACCATTTCACCACATAATAGTGCCATGTGTAGGCATAGTTCAGAACCAGTTGCGGATACTTGCAAGTGCTGAAGCAAATGCACTTTTGTGAAATGAACTTTTTGTTTTGGAACCCCAGTTGGATAAATCTTCCTGTTGTTGAAACCTTTTGGTTTGGAGTGGTCGGAGAATTTAGGCAGTGTCTTCAATCTCTGGAGGGTCTCCTAGCAGCAAGTTTCAAAGTGTCATTCACCTTTGGCTTTTTCAATCCATTGATGATGCCTGAAAACACATTCCCTTATTTTATAGGAGTTTTCCCATTTTTTTGGTGTTCTCATCGTCTTGCCTGTTACTGTCATGTCATAGAAGTATAGTGCGATTTGATATGATGACAAAGTAATATTTTTCTCTATCTATCAGGATTTCTATTGTCTAACTATAAAAAGTTGTTGATGTGAATCATTCGCACATAGGGAGTTATGCATCTTACCTATTGCCAGCCGCTGCATTAGTAGCTATGGGATTTTGTTACATGTGGTGTAAGGTGAGGCTATTATCTAATCTCAAAATTGTATATATCTGCAACTGAACTGATGGTAGAAATTATATGCAATGATGCTATTAATGCATTTATTATTTTTATGTCCATCTTTCAGGGATGGTCATTTTCTGATGTAATATCTGTGACAAAGCAATTGGAGAGTGTACCTGAAAAAATAGATGTAAGTCGCATCTGCTGACATAAAAAATTTCACAGTTTAGCCATTTTACATCTGTGTTGATTGCTGAACAATTTTGTTTAATCAATATGTGCAGTCAACTAGAGGGCATCTAACAGAGAAGCTAGAAGTTTTGAGCCTGAAAGTTGAGGAGCAAATTGAGTTAAACCAGCTTAATGCTAATGATGTAAGAGATGGCGATTTTCTTTACAACATGGCTAATTATCTTAATGCAATTAATACAAGTGGTTGGATCTGAAGAACGGACTTTCAAATATAGGATCAGTCAAATGAACTGTTTTCAATTTTCTCCCCAGATTCATTGGATTGTGACTAATAGGATCAATATGCTCGTCCGCCTTTATAGTCTGAATTGCCTTGTTTAAATGGAAACTGATATTGTTACTTTTTCATGGTAATATTCAACTTTAACTTTACTTGGCCCTTCCTAACATTAGTATCCCACGTGGACTATCTCTGCAGTCAGTTTTAAGAGCCAGGTCCTTTGCTATTGGTAAAATTTATGTCTGGCCATATATGGAAGCAAGTTACTGCACGCTTATTTATTTTTATTTTCATTCAGGTGAATGAAATGAAGTTAAACCTTTCACAAATTCAGCTTGAAGCCACCAATGAAAAGATTTCCAGGATGGTAAATTATATTTCTCGTAGAGCACTTTAAGCATCTAATTTATTGGAAGGATTACATTGTCAATGTTGTGACTTTAATCTATTTGTTAACTTTATAGGACGAAAAGCTCAAGCTTGCTGAAAGCAAACAGGTTATTTATTTAACTTTGCAGATGCATGGATTAACTACCAGTATTTGTTCTGATTTACACACAAGCGGGCATGTACGCGCATAATTTTATGATTTTTAAACCTTTTTTCTTTTGAATTTTTCATGCAGGATAAGACTAACGAAGCTGTCTGGCGTCTGTGCCAAAGTACTGTTGAATCTTATGAGGAGCGAGACAGAAAAATCTCAGAGGTCAGATTTTTAATTTTTCTATATTTATCGGCTAGGATTCTTCATCTTCAAGGTCCATGCCCATTAACTCTCTTTTTCCTTCTTTTTTTTTTTCTGTCTTGCTAATTTTGGTTGCTTGAGTCATTTGACAATTGACAGGGAGTCAGCGCAGAACAGGGGGAATCATCAACTTTGGTATGTCAAATTTTGTAAAAATTCTTCAAGGCAAAAGTGTGCTTTTGTTTTTTTTTTTTTAAATTTTACATGTAAGGTTTTAGTTTTCTAACCATATCATTAGTTCTATGAACAAAAAAAATATTTTCATTAGAAGTTTAAATATTGAAAAATATTTGCAAATACTAACATATTGAATTTGATTTTAAAAAATAATAATGATGACCACCAAAAAAAAAATCATCCTTTGAGACTAATGGTATAAGGGTTATAAGATTGAAAAAGATACTTTATAAAATTAAGAGATCAAACTTTTATTTTACCAGAATTAAGAGATCAAACTGAATGTAAAGTTAAAAAATCAAATAGTCACTTTTGCCATTTGAATCATTCTCGAACTTTGTTCAATGGTGACTTTTGATTCGATACTGTTCAGGGCTTGCAGATGATTGGGAAAGAAGGCACCAGTTCGAAAACAGTCATACAAGGACCGTATCAGATTAAAGCTCCTCAGGATGGGGACGCCGTTGAATGGGTGTGATTAAAGGATAAATATCCGCAATTGATTTTTCAAAAGAATTTTCAATTTTGGGAACGTAGGTAAATTATACAAGAATTTAATTCTACAGGGGGATTGGTGGTAATAATTTAGAAAATTATAGGCGCATCTTAATTGCATTTCAGCTATTTGATATAACTAAGGGTAAACATTTTTGTATACTCTATGGTTAAGCATTTGGCTGTAGGGATGGTTTAAGGAATTTTGGCTGGAGCCCTTTGCTTCAGATTCATAAGAACTTCCGGGAAGTATGAAGTTTTGGCAATTTTTTAAACAGGAACCTGTTGTCTTGACTGATAAATCAACGAATTAGACTTAAAAGCTCACTTATTGCTTTGAATTTGGCAAAAAATAAGTTCATATATGAATTCGGAGCTCCAGATGTTATTGCAGGAAGATGCGCATTATTTTGCATAAAATTTTAAAAATCCAATCAATATGAATGGTTCAGAATCTTTGGCCCCCCAAAAAAGGGTTCAGAATCTGAAGATCTATTTGTAGCTTTTTTAAAAAAAATTATGATAATAGAGTGTATCTTAATTGTCAGGATTGACTGGATCATTAAGAATAATTTAAACTTTTTAGGTTGAATAAAAAATCAAAATTTCTCTTTTGGAGGAAAGACACTTTGTGGTTTTGGCTAGCTAGTTTGGGTTGAGGTTGACCAAATTTTATTTCAGAACTTTTAATATAAAAACAAGTTTGAAAATATTATTTTATTTTTAACTCTGTTTTAGAAATATAATCTATATTTTTGTTAGCTCTATTTTAGAAATGTAATCTATCTTTCGATTCCTTTCCATTCTTATATTCTTTCTAGCAAAGAAAATATTTTTTTAAAAAAAGAAAAAACCCCTGCCATTGTTTAAGCAATTTCTATTTTATGAGCAGGATTATGTCATATCTGCAAACAAGAAATCTCTAAATCCCATGAGTCGGTATAAACATTAACTTCGGAGTCTCCTTTAAACAAGGAGGTGTCCTTTAAAATTGCTCTAGAGTTCGGATTTTGGTCCCAACTGCCCCATTGCTTTTTTCCTACTCTCCAAATGCTTTTGCTTTTTTTTTTCCTAAAAAAAATCATTAGCTTTTACATAAAATGAATCAAATTTTGATATCCCATAAGTCAAAATGGTGTTATTTTCAATTTTTTTAATGATTTTTTAAAAAAATTGGCATCTAAATTTAAAAGTAACAGCACCCATTTTAAAATGTTCTTTAAAAAATCATTAAAAACAACACTATTTTTTTACCTATGGGATACGAAAATTTCACTTGTTTTACGTAGAATCTAATAATAAAAAAATTTGAGAAATAGAAAAAAACTGAAAGACAATAAAAGAGGTAATAGAGAGATGGGACATATGATGCCCTAAACCCTAAAACTTCTCATTGTTTCTTTGTATGAGTAGTGCATCATCTAAGCCCGTCCTATTTTGTGACAAACCATTGGGTCACACCAACAAAACCATTGTACAAAAACATCTTCAACTTCTGGGATGGTTTGTCAAAAAAAAACATCACCACCTCTTTTTGCTAAAAGCCAGGATTTACCAATAAAAGCCCTTTCTATGCACATGCCATATTCCAAGCTGCTCACCTCCACTTAATTCTTTCTCTACAATTTTTAACAAATTTGAGCTGCCCCGATCTTCCCAAAGTTCTCATTGTTAATTTTTGTCAACATAAATCAAAACTTCCAGCCTGAAATTTTCGAAAATATTTGGAAAAACATATGGAAGAGTTCTCTTTACTGAGAATATGGCTAAGCTATCTTTAATATTTCCATGACAACAACTGCAATAAATCACTATTAACATACATATATAATTTTCTTAATTTTATAGTTACTTCATCTCTACAGTATTTATATTAACTTCTGTGAAAAAAAATTCCTGAATAATAAATCATAGAATGTAAAATTCATTTATATATATGGCTGATATTATATTGTAAACTAAACTTACAGTTTAATTTCGTTATTCAAAATGCGCCAAAAAAAAAACAGCACACTAAATACAATTGCTTAATAGCAAAAGTAATAATTAAAAATGGAAAATAATTGTTGGCAAAAAATACTAAAGAAAATAAATAGTAATTCTTTTGGCCAAAAGGAAAAGGGATAATTAATTTGATGGTACTTAGAGGTTCATCATATTTTGAATTGAGTCCCTCTAGTTTTAATCAATTAGGGCGTAGCTTCTCTCCTCTGCCCGTTCTCTCTGCTGCCCTCCACTACCTCCCTCCCTCCTATTAAAATGTTACACCTGTACTTCAAGTCAAGAGAATTGCTAATTTTTATTTTTCACCAATTATAAGTATTAGCTCAAAATAATTATACCTAATGTGAAGACCGATTATAAAGTACTTGTAAAATCTAGTTTATAGTATAAAATAGATTTTATATTAAGTGTCAATAGTAAATTACTCTAATAACAACATCACCATTTATTTTTAGATGAATTTAAGACTGGGTGGATATTTTTTTGGTAAGTTTTTATTTAAAGTCCATAAGAAAAGGTGTGTATAATTTTTTTTTTTTGTGGGGTTAAATTCCATATGCCATTGCAATAATGTAAAGAGGTGCGGTTAGGCTGACCTGGGACACACGGGAGTGAGCGTTTGATAGCCGGAGAGAGGGGGAGGCCGTGATAAAGGGCATGAATGAGGAATTGGTGTAATAGTGAGCGGGCATCGTGGTAGCGCCACGTGTCACAGACTTTGGCGGCTGAGTGCTGAGAGAAACTTTGACCGTTAATGTTGAAAGAAACTCTGCCTTCGAACCCATATGGGGCCCACCCTGTTATACGCACGCGCCGTAATTAATTCCAACCAATTCTCCTCGTATTTGTCTCATAGTGATAGAAGCTTCTCTTGGAAGAGACTTGATTAATTAATTGATTGTTGTGAAGATGAGCAGGGATAAATTTTGGGACAAATATGAAATCAGAAAAAATAAAAAAAAATCTCAACCTGTCTTCATTATATTGATGTCATGATGTGTTAAAGGGGTCCGAAGTAGTGTTTATTGATGTAATCAAATCTTCTAGTTTTCTATTAGCACATTACTATCTGGTTCTTAATATAAGGTTTTGTTTGATTTTTATTTTGATCCTAATTATAAAACTCTAATTTATTTTATCTCTCATATTTATATATTTTTTTCCAAAATAATCCCTCTAATAATAATAGTTATAACCAATAAACTTGATTAGTAAGGATATTTTAAGAAAGACAACATCTATTTATTGCAAATAGCCAACTTAACTTATTTTCTTAATCTTTTTAAATTAGTTAACTAACTCTTATAATTATAATTAAATGTAATATCAAATAAATGACGCTTTTTAGAGGAAAGAGGACAGTGCCATCAAATTTCATCAATAAACTCTCACTCATGACTCAGAGACTGCCGCATTGTACCAAAACTAGTTATGTTCAAGAACCAAAAAGTACACCTATTGAAACAAATGACAACTAAGAAGACTTGGAAACCAGACAAAATAACAGTCAATAAGACCAGACGCATACACAAAAGATGAGCAGGAAAAAAAAATCCCAGAAAAGAAAACGCAAAAGAGAATCAGAATATTGAAATTCAGCCAAGGTCGGTTAGTCAATTTTTTAAAAAAAAAATTAGAGGGGTAATGACCTAATATTACAAGATTTACAATTTCTACTTAATGACCTGATGTTAAAATCCAACTATGAGGCCAATGGTAGTAAATCAAACTAATAAACCGGTATATCAACCTCATATTCGGTCTAATCAAGAGCTTTGGACCGGCTGATTAGGTTGAATATTACCTTTCCCTCCCCCCCCCCCCTTTTTGATGAGTATGATATAGCATCATTTTGAGTTTTTTTTTTTAAAAAAAACTTAGCAGTCCTCCAAATTTGTACTTTAATATTTCTATTTTGTTGGATTTTGTATGATTTTATGTTTTGTTTCGTTTACTCTTTTTAAGATTATATATACAAATTTATGCATATTTTAATTAAATTATATTATTTTAATCATGATTGTATTGATCTTGATTCAATCATTATTAAATCAGTGACCTTTGAATTACTTCCTCATTCCTCAACTAGTTCTATATAATTAGCTAAAAACAGCAACCAAAGAAAATATTCATCATATCAAATAATATTCCAGAACATTCTTGTAATAATTAATTGATGTCCCTTCTATTAGTTTTGGTGAATGGTTTAAGAAACATCTTTAATCCAGAGATGATTTGTTACGATCGCTGTATATGACTCAAAAGACTGCCGTGTTCGAGTCCTCTTTCAAAGTAGATCCACTTTGTCGTTGTTTAAACTCAACAAACAAGTTTCCGGCTGGGACACATGGGCCCTGTTTGGGAGGGTTTAAAAAATTCCCTATAAACAGTTTTATGTAAATGAAGACAAAACTCCTCTCACATACTTATCTTATATTTCGTAAATCACTATTAAAAAACTACTTATAAACTATTTATAAACTGTTTTAAACGGCTAATAAGGTTGTGTACGACATCACAGTGACGAAATAATCACCAAAGCATGAAAGAGAGCTGTTTTTTTTTCCGTCTAACTCATACTTCTACTCAGTTCATTGTATTGGGGAAACAAAACTCTTAAATAAATTAAATACCATTCTTCTCTCTGATGCCCACTTTTAGTACATTCATATGCTTTTTGAACTTTTTTCTGCCAAATTAACGGGTTTGAGATTTTACTGCAGAATCTTCGGAAATTCAATTCTTAAATGCTCTTCCCATCATAACAAAAGAATTAATAACAAGTCTTCCTCTCCCACTCAAATTGTTTCCCATCTAAAGGTGGCGATGGTGGTGGAAAACAAACCACACTTTTCCATGAAAAGCCATACCGTTTCAATCAAACAGAGCAATATTTACGACTTAGATTTAACACCATAGCCTCTAAGTCTTCCTCCTCTTGGTCCAGCCTTAAAATATAAGGCCTCAAAAGCCCAGCCCTTATTCCTGCAGCCCAACTTTGTCTCCCCTGTAACCTTCTTGTTCTTAGCTTCCTTTTCTTCTTCTTGTTCTTCAAAATGCTTTCAAATGCTCTGCAATGGCTGAGCCATGTGGGCATGATATGGCTTCAAGCCATAAATGGTACAAACAACAACTTCCCTGCATATTCCTCTCAGTTAAAGCAGCTTCTTTCTGGTATCCCTCTTACAATGTTTCCCTTTGTTTTGGTACTTCAGTATGTGTTCCTTCAGAGTTAGTGAGACGCTGGATTTTCCTGGTTGTAGTTTTGAATGATCACCTTGTTAGATCTACTAGGATGTTCTAATTTTGCCTGTTACTCTGATGTTATAAAAGTAGAGTGATTTTATTATAATGACAGAGTAATATTTTTCTCTATCTAAAAGGGTTTCTTTTTTCTAACTATAAAATGCTGTTGGTGCGAATTATTTGCACATAGGGAGTTGTGCGTCTTACCTATTACCAGCTGCTGCAATAGGAGTTATGGGTTATTGCTACGTGCGGTGGAAGGTGACACTATTATTTAATCAAAAGATTATGTATATCTCTGCAATTGATCTAGAAGCAATGGTGGCATGTAATGATGCTGTTAATGCATTCATCATATTTTTCCTCTATCTTTCAGGGATGGTCATTTTCTGATGTAATGTTTGTGACAAAGCGTAATATGGCCAATGGTGTTGCAACCGTGACCAAGCAATTGGAGAATGTAAATGAAACATTAGCTGTAAGTTGCATCTGTCGACATAAAATTTTCACAGTTTGACCATCTTACATCTGTGTTGGTTGCTGAACAGCTTTGTTTAAACGATGCATGCAGTCAACTAGAAGGCATCTAACAAAGAAACTAGAAGTTTTGGACCTGAAAGTTGAGGAGCAAAATGAGTTAACGCAGCTTATTGCAAATGATGTAAGAGATGTTGATTTTCTTTACAACCTGGGCAACTCTATTAATGCAAGAAGTTGTTACATATGAAGAAGACACCTCTAAATATAGGATCAATCAAATGAACTGTGTTTCAAGTTATTCCTCAGAATCAATGAATTATGACTATGAGCATCTGGATCAATATGCCTGTTCTCCTTTATGTTTTGAATTGCTTTGTTAAGATTGAAGTTGATGTTGTTACTTTTGCATGGCAAAATTCAACTTGAACTTTGCTTCTTGCTTCATAACATTAGTATCCCTTGTGGACCGGCTCTTCAGTCAGTTTTAAGAGCCAGCTTCTTTGGTAATTGCAAGGTTCATCACAGGCTATATATGGAAGTTCGTTCCTGCATGCTCATTTGTTTTTATTTTCATACAGGTGAATGAAGTGAAGTCAAACCTTTCACAAATTGGGGGTGATTTTGAACTCATCCGTCAAATGATTTCCGGCCTGGTTAACTACATTTCTCCCCTTTTTAAGCATCCAACTAACTTGAAGTATTGCATTGTTGGAGTTGCGACTTTAATGTATTTTATTAACTTGACAGGAAGGAAAGCTCAAGCTTGTTGAAAGCAAACAGGTCATTGATTTAACTTTGCAGTTACATGGATTAACTATTATTGTCTAGAATATGTTCTGATTTACATGCGCATGCGTGCTCACATATGATTTTTCACCTTTGCTTCTTTTGAAATTTCCATGCAGGACATAACTAACTCAGGTCTCTGGTATCTGTGCCAATTAGCTGATGGGTTTAAAGAGTAGCCAAGCAGTAGAATATTCAAGGTTCGATTTTTCATCTTTCTATACCTATCCACAGGTCCATGCCTGTTGAGTTAACTTTCTTTCTTCTTCTCCCCCCCCCCCCCCGGGGTGCTAATTTGATTGTTGGAGTCATTTGACAGGAAGTCAGCGCGGAACCTGCAAACCATTCAGCAAAGGCTCTTGAGGGTAAATCTTCGCTTAAGGTATGTCAGTTCTCTATAAATTGTTCAAATTCATCATTCTCAAACTCCGTCCATTGGTGACTTGGTTCAATGTAATTCAGGGGCTGCAATTCATTACTGAAACAACAGACACAGTTGAGAAATCCGTCTCGGACACAAAGAAAGGTGGTGTCAGTTTTGCCAACGAAAAAGGCCCCATCTAGAGAACAAGCGCACACAGATCATTCCCGGTTAACATTTCTCTGGGCAAGGACATTATGGGTTAGGTGTGTGATTAACCCTTAGGTCCCGTTTGATACGAAGCATTAAAAATGAGGGATTGGAATTGTAATTACAACTGAAAAAAATCATTGAAGTAGTACTTAGTATAAGTAATTGTTTGTTATTTGGGATTAAACAAACCCATAAAGGTGGGATTGGGGAATACCACTTCCCCCGTGGTATTCTCCAATCCCACATATATGGATTTGATTAATCCCATATATTAAACAATCTCTTATACTAAACACTCTACTAATAGATTTTCTCAATTGTAATCTCAATTCCAATCCCTCATCTCCAGTACTTCCTACCAAACGCAACCTTAGTTTCAACGATGATTGATTACCTGGCTCGTTGCCTGCTTGGCTCTGCAGAACTGAAATTCGTGGGAACTTCTTCCCATGAGAAGTATAAAGTTATCTCAATTCTTTAAAGGGACATTTATAATTTTACATAGGCACAAAATGACGGCAAAACAAACTCAGTATTAAATAAACAAGAACAATATTTGGTCCCTCAAATTTGGGCCAGTTTTGGTAATGGTCCCTGGAATTTAAAATGTATAGTATTAGTCCCTCAAATTTTGGCCATTACAAAACATTAGTCTCTGGTACCTTTACACCATTAACTTTGTTTGAGATGGCACTGACACTGTTAACACAATGAGGTGGTCATATAAGCTGGCACATATATGGATCTTATCTGGAAAAAAAAAAGAAAGAAATAAATAATAAATGGGTTTGAAAAAACGCACTGACCGGAAAGCAAAGGGGTTACTACATATGGAGGGTCGATGAAGGTCAGGAAGGGCAAAGGCTGGAAAGGTTCAGCGAAAGCACTCTAGCGAAGGTAAGAAAGGTCCAAGAAATCAATATTCACGGTTCTCGCTTCTCTTCTGTTAATTCTTAGGTGACCAGTACTATAAAAATTTAAATCATCATCGCCAGTCACATATACTACAACATATTTCGATCATATGTTTTTGAAACAAAGATCAGGTACCTGAAGTTAGCGGCTCAACTCTCATGTGGGCCAGTTTCTATGTTTGTGGGATGCCCCTATGGTGCAAAGCTAATAGAACCTTCAATTAATTGATATCTTTCATTGGGAAGAACCATCCATCCCAATTAGATGTGTGTGCATGTGATCTCTAGAGTTGTGAGAAATCATGAATTGATGGAGTTATGCAATTAAAAAAGAAAATTATTAATGTGTAGAGAGAGAGGATACGTGCTGTTACAAGACGAGGTTAATGAACGATCCCACACGATAACTAGTCTTCTCCCATTCGTTTTGCTAATTATCCAACGAGCTACATCTACATTAAAGTAGAATATATATATCTATATATATATCATCTCTGTATCAAAGTGGAATAGGTATATATGTAGTGTATTAGGCAATCTCTGAATTAAAATACAAACCGAAATGTGGGCCATTGATACTAGCATGAAGAATGGCCATTAATACTAGCATGATCTTTATTTTATTAGCTCTGTTTTTTGTCTCAAAAACAGAGACAAACAGAGATGTAATTTGAGTTGTACCTTAGGATTATTTTAGTTGGATATCATAAATTTTACTAATGTCCTGACAGTATCATAGTTGGATATGATAAGTTTCAATTGCATATAATAACGTTGGCAAGGCATAATCAATAGAGTACACATTATAAAGTGGAATTGGCACCTGTTAAAACGGTTTTTTTTTTTTTTAATGACACGGTATATAAGCTGCAAGTTGAAAAAACATTAATTTACTTATGTTATTCCAAGATCTTATAACCACAGTATATGGCATACTTTGAAGATGAATCCATTGTAAGTAAGCAAGCTAGCTTGAGTCTTGGGCACCATTCTCTCTGCCACACATAAAATATACCACTTTTTTCTGGAAATAAAATATGCCACTTGGACCATGGAATTGTATTTTTCTTGAAGATGAATCCATCATAAGGTGAATTAGTGGGAGAGATCAACAACGTGCTTGGTGACGATAAGCGCCCATTTCGTTTCAACGGTCCCTTTCTTTAGCTTTAATGTCCTGGTCATCAACCCACAAATGTGCCAGCATATGTGTCCACCTTATTAGGTTAACGATGTTAGTGCCACCTCGGACGAATTTAACGGTGTAAAGGTATCAGAGAACAACGTTTTGTAAAATACTATGTATTTTAAATTTCAAGAACCATTATCAAAACTGGCCTAAATTTGAAGAATCAAAATTTATATTAACCCGAGAGGTTAGGGGTAAAAAAAAATCAAAGGAAAATCCCATGTCTACGTAAAAGTAACAGTTCCATTGATTCTAGGATTTTTTCCTGCATATATGATTTGAAGACAGCTCGTTCGGTTCACGAAATTAATGAGAATGTAATAGAATAAAATGTAATGTAATGGTGATTACGATAAGTTTGTTTGGTACAATGTTGAATTGGGTAACTAAATATGTTTTTGATATTTATTTAAAGATATAAAATCAAAAAGATAAAAATACCCTTTCAGCTAGAAAGAAAAAGGAAAAAGCCTTCCTCCTTCTGATGCTTCTGTCTCACACCTAATCAACACAAAATCTCATCAATCTTCATATAAAATCTTGAATTATTCATAAAAAGCAGCAATGAAAAAAAGTTCAGGCTTGTTTGGAGTTGCAATTTATAAGTATGTTTATATAAATAGAGACAAAAATTATCTCACATGCTCATTTTATGTTTATTTCGTATTTTGTAACTCATAATTAAAAAGTTTTTAAGTCATTTCAAATAATCCCAAAGGGATTTACAAATAAGTAGGGGAGTGGTTGGTCCAAAATGGAGATTTACGAATGGACTTCGCGGTAAATGTTTGACAAGTTCTACAATCTTTGAGAATGGGTGGTTGGCAAGCAGATTTGGTGGCAAACTCGAGTATTGGAAGAGAAGAAGGTTGTTGATCGTGATTGCGGGGTTTGATGGCATTTGATCTTGGTTGATCTGAATGATGGTGTTCGATGGTGTTTGGAGTTGTTGATCTTGATGAAGGTGGTAGTAGGGTATCGTTTGCTGGAGTCGGTTTGAGAAGATGAGGAGAAAAAAGAAGATGATGAAGGGGCAAATTTAGCTTGGCGGCAGAGTTCTCTGGAAAGGTTTAGGGCTAATATTGGGGGTTCTCTGTCGATCGAGGCTTGACACAGAAAAGGGGAAAATTCTTGCCTTCATGGTTTGGATTCCTCATGCTTAACTCTTTCTTTTCATTCAAACTTTCATTGATGCGGTCATAATTTTCTTTGGCTTTTACATTTCTGTGAATATTTTCGTTTGAGTTTGAATAGTAAATTTGTTGATGTTCAACTATGCAAATCTGTCATAATGCTGGTTTGAAAATTCTTTTTCAGTCTATGAAATATTTAGTAAATGTTCAATGTAAGTATTAATTTTCAACCTTTTCAGTTTTCAGTTTGCTTTATGTTACCGGCGAAGGAGGAGGACAATGGAAGGGGCCAATGGTGATGGTGGCGCCGGTGGGATGATGATAGAAACTGGAAAGGATCAGTCATGAGGAGGAAGCGAAGGGACGATAGTGGGTTGGAAGAGTTTTCATAATTTTTTAGATTTTTCAGTTAGAATATTATTATTCCACGTATGCACCCATGTCAGCATCATTTTTCAGTCAAAATGTTCTCTAACGGTTATCGTTGAAGCAATTAACGGCGTAGGCATTATTGTCTCGTTTTCAAAAGCTCATGCGCATTTTTGTACTTAACATTTTATTTTGATGTCTGATACTTTTTTTAGATACTACCTCCGGTCTTTAATATAAGACCCTATTTGATTTTTATTTTGGTTATAATTATAAGACCCTAATCCATTTTATCTCTCACATTTTTACATTTTTTTTTTCAAAGTAGCCTTTCTAACAATAATAGTTCTAGTTAATATACTTGATTAGTAAGGATATTTTAGGAAAGACAATATCTATTTAGGACAAATAACTAACTTAACTTACTTCCTTAATCTCCTCAAATTAGTCAACTGACTCTTATAATTAGGACCGGAAGTAGTATTACAATAGGTAAATTTGCCCCTTCACTCATAAAAAAAGCTAGGGATTTAGGCAAACCTTCCTTAGGCAAAGCATCTGCAACTCTGTTTTGTAGCCTTGAAATATAAGCGACTTTCAAATCCCATGAATACTCCATAAAAGCCTTAGATTTGTATCATCATCAGGTTATATCTATCATCAACAGATACAATAATGATCATATCTACAAGATTCCTAGCATCAGATTCCAAAGTGACTTTTCTAAACCCAAGGTCCCAAGCAAGCTGTAGGCTTTTAAAGATTGCCTATTCCTCTGCTTCAAAGACTGTACAAATGCCCAAAAAATGAGTGACGCGCGCAATCCAATTTCCACTACTATTCTAAGAACTCCCCCACATCAACCTAGGCTAAAAGAAGATGAAACGGCACCATCAACATTTAGTTTTATCCAATTCCCTGGTGGAGGTTCCCAAATTGCAGAAACAGATCTATTCAATAACAAAGCACTTTCCTCCTCCTGTACGTGGGCATAACTTCTCCAAGAATTCATAATAACAGAGCTCGGGCCTGCTGGTTTTTCGAACTCCACGTCAAACTTATATCTCCAAAGCCATAATTTCCAGACTGTAATCCCCCATATTTGACTCCAGCAACCATCCTCCATAATTCGCAAGTCTCTTTTAAGATTTAGAGCGAACCAGTCACCAAGCCAAGGTGCAAAGAACTGAGAAAGATGCCTCGGATTAATTAATCGCAGCCACAATTGTCTTGCATAATCACAGTCTCTTAATATGTAAAGAACATCTTCACAACCCGCATTGCAATAAGAACAATTAGTGGAGGTTGGAAACTATTTGCTCCTCCTAGCATTAGTTGGTAGGCGATTATTAAAAGTTATCCACATGAAAACTCTAACTCTTTCAACACCTTTCCATTTCCAAATGAGTTTAAAAATTGGGCTGTAAGCATTTTCTGGGGGTTCCTCAAGCATAAAGTAAGCAGTTTTTATAGTGAACGTGCCATCATTTGTTGCATTCCAAGCCAAAATGCTGTTCCCAGCTTGAGCCAAAGGAGGGAGGATCGTTATCAACTTCTGTGTTTGTTGCCTTTACTTTGGGCTTGTCTGTCTTTTGAGATTTGTTGGGCTTAGGCCCCCGTTTATCACCAAAAAACAGTCTTCATAGTGACCTGACCATTTTTTAATTTAAAATATACTACCTCCGGTCTTATTTATAAAAACTAGTTAACTAATTTGAGAAGATTAAGAAAAAAAATTAAATTAGTTATTTGTAGGAAATAAGTGTTGTCTTTCCTAAAATATCTTTACTAATCAAGCGTATTGGCTAAAACTATTATTGTTAGAAAGACTATCTGGAAAAAAAATGTAAATATGAGAGACAAAGTGGATTGGGGTCTTATATTTAGGATCAAAATAAAAGTCAAACAAGGTTTTATATTAAGAACCAGAGATAGTATATATTTTTCACTTCAGAGATGAATAGATAAAGGGTATGAGTTTCTAAATCCCTCTACTTCTTACCCGGGAAGCAAGAGTGATCAGGTGAAGATGTTATTTTGCTTCTATTTTATAATTTGTGTTATATTAGCCGTAATATACCCATTAATCCTTTCAATTCTCACAATTTTTCTATGAAACCAAAGCAGAATGTCCCTTTCAAAGCTACCACGAATCATACGCTTAATATATAGAATCTTGAATAAAAAGTACTCCTCCGGTCCTTAATATAGGACCCAATTAGAAGGTTAATCTTGGTCCTAAATATAGGACTCCTTTCTCATATTTTTTCATTCTTTCCTAAATTACCCCTATTAGATAATTAAATACCACAATAATACTCATTATTCATTAATAATACACATATATATTTTATAAAGTGAATGAATACTTATTACTTATTGATTCCACACATACATCAATTTTACCATTTTATATTTTTAATAAAATAATTTAAACATTTTAAAAAAATATTTTCATACAAATACCCATTCAAGGTAATTGGATTTTTTTACCTCCGAGGAATAGCATAATAATAATCATACTATCTATTTTCTTTGTGCCCAGAAAATATAATCTTCTATTTATATTTTACCCAATCAAACAGAAAAGTTCCTGCCCGAAGAAAAAAAAATAATTCTTTTTCTTATAAACAGGAAAATAAAAAACAAATAAAGAAACAGAAACAAAACATTGAATTAAGTTACACCCTCTCGCTAACCCAAAAATTCCTCAGGTCCAAGAGTAATAACCAAACCATTAATGACATAAAAGCAATGTGATATTACAGAATTAGAAATCAAATTAGTAATTTATCAGATTCCTAGAATGTTCTTAATTTTTCATTAGGATAACAATAAGCTCTGAAGTCCTGAAAGCATATTAATACCATCATCTGCGCCAATTTCGTCACTGTTCAAGTCCAAGTTCAACGGCATTGAGTCAGATTGATTCTCAACAGTGGTCACTTATAGCAAGCAAAATCTGAAATCCAGAGAAGCAACACTGATGAACTAAGCAAGCAAAACTAAAATCGATTTCATACCAAGTTAATACCAAGTTTCGTTTCACACTGATCAGAAATGTGGACACTAATCCAGAAAAACAACATCAACAATTAAGCAAGCAAAACTGGAATCGATAAACATCTAAAATCCAGAGAAACAACATTGACGAACGAAGCAAGCAAAACCGAAATCTGACGGAAATCCAAAATCTAGAGACAACATTGACCGCAAGCAAAACTGAAATCGATGGAAAATCCGAAATCTAGAGAAACAATATCAACGAACCAAGCAGTTGATGAGTGAGACCGACAACTTGGACGGTATGTGAGCCAGGAGAACTTGAACGACGTTGGTACCGGAGGAGGCGAGTTAACTAGACTTGAATTTTTTTCAAATGTCAGTTTCTTTTTAGAAGTGTAAACCGAGAGTATTTTGGGATATCTATACTTATTACCTAATTTAACTAACATCCTTAATTTAATCAAAATAGTCAAAAGGGTCCTATATTAAGGACCGGAGGAGTATTATTTATAACTCATATGCAAAATATAGCTTCCACTAAATTGTGTCTTAGTTCAAAATCATTTTAAGGTATTCTTTATTGGTTTATTCATGAAGCCATAATGGTATATCCGTAAAAATTACAAGTGGGTAAATAAAGAAAAGATATACTCTTATTATCAGGAGTAATGATAATTTAAAAATTATGATGCATGCTTCAATGCTTTCCTTATTCAATGTCATTTATGAAAATATAAGGAAGTCAATTTTCTTTTTGAGTAAGAATATTCTAATATTTATTTTTATATATTTTAATAGATAAACAAAATTGTTGTTAGTGATTTAATTAACTTAATTCAGAGAGAATAATTGTGAAGTATCCAGTTGTAACTTGCAAACCATGAAGCTCAAATATAAATCTTGAAAAATTAATTTCAAATCAATTGTGACTTGAAAAAAATTTTGTAAGTCTTAAAGGTTCAGCTGTAAGTCTTATAATCTTAGTTGCATATATTGAAAAATTGATAGCAAATCAATTATAAATTGTGAATCAAATCAAAACATTTAAAAAGTCAATCAATCATTTTTTTTTTTAGAATCGAGTCTTTTGGAATTTACAATTAAGATTTTAATATTTACAAAATATAACTTGCAATTGATTTGTAATTAATATTTCATTATTTACAAATGAGTTTTTAAAATTGGGAAATTAAATTTCTAAAATCTACATAATTTTCATCATTTAAAAACGAATTACAACTTGTATTCTACGATTTATAATTGAATTCCTTATATTTACAATTAATCTTCAGTAGTTTTAATTTCAAATATCTGATCCTTAATATAAGAACTAGTTTAACATTTAATTAGGGTATAGATATAATATTTTGATTCATTTTGTCCTTTATATTTATCTATTTTTTAAAATAGTCCTTATAGTTACACACGTTAAAATTTTTGTCAAATGACAATTTTAATTAATACATATGATTAATGATAGTATTTTAAAAAATATCACCTATTTATTATAAATAATTAACTTAATAATTTTTTTTTGTAATCTACTGCTTTTATGAAATGACAATGGCCTTCTAGACGATTTTGTGATTCTTTAATATTATCAAGTTTTTCCATGGCCCTGTACCGTATTTTGCCCGGAAAATAAAAATAAAATGGAAATCACCCCTGCCCGCGCGAACTTCGTGGATGGTCTACTCGAGTTCGTTTGTTCCAACAATGCTCGGTTTGACCTTGAGGCGAAGGCCAAATTCATCGAGCCAGAGCCATGCCACGGTAGCGATGGAGGGGACGACGTGGAGGGGACGAGCCACGTGGCGTCAGACGTAGATTCGACTACGTAGAAGGTTCGAGCAGCTCACGAAGCTTAAATAGTCGAACGACGTTAAGGAAATGGTGTAATCGAATCTTTCTCTGAGTTCTTTCTCTCTCTGTATTTAACCGTGCTTCTCTTCCTTCTTCTTGAGTGTGTGAATCTGTTCTTGTGTCAGTTGAATTCCCATCGATTTGTTGTAGCTGGAAGTGATATCGACTGATACTGAGCTTTTCCGATAAGCTTGAGTACGTTCAGATCATTGACGGAAAATGGCATCACAAGCGCGTCAAAACTCCAAATTTCTTATCCTTGTCCCAACTAGTGAGCGTTCTACTTTATATCTCATTCTTAGATCCTCCTGTTTGATTTAAATTGTCGGTGAATTTCCGGCCAATTCAGCTCCTAACTTTGTTTTAGCCTTGTGATAAACTCCTGAAGTCTATTTTCTTGGTTAACTTGTATGACACTGGAAATTCTGTCTATGGTTTAAAGACTGAACAAGAAGCTCGCAACTTCAATCGCTGCGGAACCTTTATAAAGAGGGGAAAAAGTTTTTCCTTTTTGTCCCTCTCATTACTTACATGACACTTTTTGCTTGTCTCAGATAATTTGCTCAAAAAGGAAAAAGTGTATCCCTGTTATTCATCGCTGATCATTAACTGATGAGAACTTTTTCCTTTTTCTTGGTACAAGTTCTGTTTTTACTTTACTGCATTTTAGGTTGGTCTGGCTCTGTTGTGCGGAGGAGCCAACGGTCTTCTGATCTCACTGCACAACTTCAGGCATTGCTGAAGGATTATAATGAAGCTGAGTTTTTACCCGGTCGATGTGACACTGCAGCCATTGCCGCTCTGGTATTGCAAAATTATCAATGTTATCTGGTGGCTTCCTTGTCTTTGTAAAATTCTGACTGTTTTTCATTTAGTACAAGGCAATGGGGCAGGCCATAAGAAATTGATTTTGGGGGAACTAAGTGAAGACTGTAAGATATTTGTTTTCATATGAACGGCAAATCCGTGAACTAAAATCGTGGTAAAGAAACCTGATTCTAATTCAAAAGAACCTTCCAATTCCTTTGAATGCCCACAAGGGCACCCCTTCCCCTTCTACACGAAAAATAGGAGTAGAAATAAAAGAAGACCATTTGTAGAAATCCATAAATAGAAAAAACAATTCTCTTTTAAAGGGGATGTGGCAGAAACCTTTAATAACTACAAGGCTGGAGAATGTTATGTTCCCACCCGTAAACTTCACGGCTACAAAAGCCTGTCAATCAGATGGACAAACCCATATCTCATCAAAGCAACCAAACGTATATTCCAAATTTGCTAAATAAGCACTTATTGTCTTTACTCCGACAACTTGCTTGGTCATAGCTAATGTTAGAAGCTAGCTCAGTGGATCAGCTCCACCCTGACCTTTTGCCCATATGAAGAAACCTTGTGATGAATAAGACAGGAGTATCTATGGTGATCTATTTGAAGGACGAAACCTTTATTTTACCCCATAACTTTGGATTTGATTATTGTTGCGTTGCAGGATAATTCATCATAAAACTTGTATCTTTAGAGGGAATATATCAATTAATGCACATCAAACCTGCATGTTTTAACTTCAGATTCGGCAACTAGCTCAGGAGATTAGGGAGTTGACCTTATCCAATCCTGCAGTCACCTTCAACTGCAATTGTTCCTGTAACGGTATGTAGAATGAATTATGTTTCAGTTTGTCATGAGTTTTGCATTTTTCCCCCTTTCATATGTTTGTGCTTTCAAGGCCTTAAACAAGTAACAACCATTTCACCACATAATAGTGCCATGTGTGGGAATAGTTCAGAACCTGTTGCCGATCTTTACAAGTGCTGAAGCAAATGCACTTTTGCGAGATGAACTTTTTGTATTTTGGAATCTCAGTTGGCTAAGGCTTCCTGTTGTTGAAACCTTTTGGTTTGGAGTGTTTGGAGAATTTAGGCAGTGTCTTCAATCTCTGGAGGGTCTCCTTGCAGCAAGTTTCAAAGTGTCATTCAGCTTTGTTTTTTTCCCAATCCATTGATGATGCTTGAAAACACTTTCACTTGTTTTGTAACAGTTTCCCATTTGTTCAGTGTTCTGATCGTCTTGCCTGTTACTGTCATGTTATGAAAGTATGGTGTGATTTGATATGATGACAAAGTAATATCTTTCTCTATATCAGGATTTCTGTTGTCTAACTATAAAAAGTTGATGTGAATCATTTGCACATAGGGAGTTATGCATCTTACCTTTTACCAGCCGCTGCATTATTAGCTGTGGGATTTTGTTACATGTGGTGTAAGGTGAGACTATTATCTAATCCCAAAATTATATGTATCTGCAATTGAACTAATGATAGAAATTATATGTAATGATGCTATTAATGCATTTATTATTTTTATGTCCCTCTTTCAGGGATGGTCATTTTCTGATGTAATATCTGTGACAAAGCAATTGGAGAATTTGCCTGAAAAAATAGATGTAAGTCGCATCTGCTGACATAAAAAATTTCACGGTTTAGCTATTTTACACCAGTGTTGATTGCTGAACAATTTTGCTTGATCAATATGTGCAGTCAGCTAGAGGGCATCTAACAGAGAAGCTAGAAGTTTTGAGCCTGAAAGTTGAGGAGCAAAATGAGTTAAACCAGCTTAATGCTAATGATGTAAGAGATGGCGATTTTCTTTACAACATGGATAATTATATTAATACAATTAAGATAAGTGGTTAGATCTGAAGAACGGACTTTCAAATATAGGATCAGTTAAATGAACTGTGTTTCAATTTTCTCCCCAGAATCACTGGATTGTGACTAATATTATCAATATGCTCGTCCGCCTTTATAGTCTGAATTGCCTTGTTTAAATGGAAACTGATATTGTTACTTTTTCATGGTAATATTCAACTTGAACTTTACTTGGTCCTTCATAACATTAGTATCCCATATGGACTATCTCTGCGGTCAGTTTTAAGAGCCAGGTCCTTTGCTAATGGTAAAATTTATGTCTGGCCATGTATGGAAGTAAGTTACGGCAGTCTTTTTTATTTTTATTTTCATACAGGTGAATGAAATGAAGTTAAAACTTTCACAAATTCAGCTTGAAGCCACCAATGAAAAGATTTCCGGGATGGTAAATTATATTTCTCCTAGACCACTTGAAGCATCTAATTTATTGGAAGGATTACATTGTCAATGTTGTGACTTTAATCTATTTGTTAACTTTATAGGATGAAAAGCTCAAGCTTGCTGAAAGCAAACAGGTTATTGATTTAACTTTGCAGTTGCATGGATTAACTACCAGTATGTGTTCTGATTTACATGCGTGCGGGCATGTACACACATAATTATATGATTTTTATCCCTTTTTTCTTTTGAATTTTTCATGCAGGATATGACTATCGCAGCCGTCTGGCGTCTGGGCCAAATTACTGCTGAATCTTACGAGGAGCGAGACAGAAAAATCTCAGAGGTCAGATTTTTAATTTTTCTATATTTATCGTCTAGGATTCTTCATCTTCAAGGTCCATGCCCATTAACTTTCTTGTTCCTTTTTTCTTCTGTCGTGCTAATTTTGATTGTTTGAGTCATTTGACAGGGAGTCAGCGCAGAACAGGGGGAATCATCAACTTTGGTATGTCAAATTTTCTAAAAATTCTTCAAGGCAAAAGTGCACTTTTTCTTTTTTAAATTTTACATGTAAGGTTTTATTTTGGTTCCTTAATTTTATAATGTGTCTTTTTAGTTTTCTAATCCTATCATCATTAGTTTTATGAACAAAAAAATTATTGCCATTAGAATTTTAAATATTGACAAAGTATTTTCAATTACAGACATATTGAATTTAATTTTAAGAATAATAATGACCACCAAAAAAAAAAAATCATCTTTTGAGGCTAATGGTATAAGGGTTATAAGATTGAAAAAGATACTTCATAAAATTAAGAGATCAAACTGAATTAAAAAGTCAAATATGCGCTTTTGCCATTTTCAAATTAATCATTATCGAACTTTGTTCAGCGGTGACTTTTGGTTTAATACTGTTCAGGGTTTGCAGATGATTGGTGAAGAAGGCACCAGTTCGAAAACAGTCATACAAAGACCATATCAGATTAAAGTTCCTTAGGATGGGGAAACCATGAGTGTGATTAGAGGATAAATATCGGCAATTGATTTTTCAAAAGAATTTTGAATTTTGCGAAAGTCAGTCAATTATACAAGTATTTAATTCTACTGGGGGATTGGTGGTAAAACTTTAGAAAATTATAGGAGTATCTTAATTGCATCTCAGCTATTTGATAGAACTAAGGGTAAACATTTGGCTGTAGAGATGGTTTAAGGAATTTTGGCTGGAGCCCTTTGCTTCAGATTCAATGATTCATGAGAACTTCCTGGAAGTATGAAGTTTTGGCAATTTTTTAAGCAAGGACCGGTTGTCTTGACTGATAAGTCAACCAATTAGACTTAAAAGCTCACTTATTGCTTTGAATTTGGCAAAAAATAAGTGCATATATGAATTTGGAGCTCCACATGTTTTTGCAGGAAGATGCGCATTATTTTGTATAAAATTTTAAGAATCCAATCAATATGAATGGTTCAGAATCTTTGGCCCCAAAAAAATGGTTCAGAATCTGAAGATCTATTTGTAGTATTTTTTGGCTGGCAAAAAAAATAATTTGTAGTATTTTTTTAAAAGAAATTATGATAATAGCGTATATCTTAATTGTTAGGATTGATTGGATGATTAAGAATAATTTAAACCTTTTTGGTTGAATAAAAAGTCAAAATTTTACTCTCTATATGTAGCCATATAGGTTTTAAATTTCTCTTTTGAAGGAAAGACACTGTGGTTTTGTCTAGCTAATTTGGGTTGAGGTTGATCAAATTTTATTTCATATATTTTATATAAAAACAAGTTTGGAAATATTATTTTATTTTTAACTCTATTTTAGAAATCTATCTGTCTTTCGATCCCTTTCCATTCTTATATTCTTTCTAGCAAAGAAAATATCTTCTTAAAAATAAAAAGCCCTTGCCTTTGTTTAAGCAATTTCTACTTTATGAGTAGCATGCTCATTTTTTCTGTCATCACTTCTCTTTTTAGGTTTTATTTTCCATGGCGAAAAATCATCATTAACTTTGATTTGACGCCAATTATTTTTGCAATGCTTGTAATCATTTCAAATCCTGACTATTGGAAAGGATTGGGAACAATACTCCAGGTTACATAAAAGTTGATCCAACGAAGTAAATTATATCGAATTCAAAGTCAAATAATAAATACTAAGTAATTTGTGAATACTTTTATAAAAGGCTTTTTTTTTGTAATTACAAAAGTCTCACACATGCAAAAAAAAAAAAAAGAGATTATGTTATGCCAGCTACCGGTAGAAAAACAAGCTAAGCTTATTGGGCCAACTTGTTTAGGCCAGAAAATTATGAGGGCATAACTTGAAATTTTTCCTTTAAATAAAAAATAGGTTTTCAAAGGTTAGTCCTATAGAGCCGAAGGCTTCAACAGCTCGACCCCCGTTTGGGTCTTTTTATATTTTTAAATTTTTTATATAATGGTAATATTATTAAGGAAAAATTACAAAAAAAGACCTTAGAATTATAAAAACACAGGTAGGGACCATTGACAACTTTACTATAGCTTTGACATATTATTATTGTCAAAACCCAAAGTGAAGTTGTCAAGGGTCCCTCTCTGCGTTTTTACAATTCCAAAGTCTTTTTTTTGCAATTTTTCCTATTATTAATTTTTTTACATTGTTAATGATATTTTAAATATTTAGTTATTATTATCATTTTAAAATTAAATTTCATAAAATGGTTTGATTTATTTTGTTTTGGACAATAATTTATCTAATTAATTTTAAAAAAAAAAGGGCTAATTTGGCCTTTAATAATGATTTGATTTATATTATATGTGTGTTGATATTTTAAACTATATATATATGATAAGAGTATTTTTTATACTTATATAACTTGTGATTCTATGATTTGAATTAAAAATTTATGAGTTTCAAAAATACTATATTTCAAATTAAAATAAAATAATACTAAACTGTAAAATTTAAAAATGAAATTTCTATGAAGAAAAAAAACTTGATATTTTTGCCACTAAAAAAGAGCATACTTATAAAAAAAGAGCAATTGATGATAGTTATAATGAAGTTTAAAAAATTGATGATATTATTTGTCTATTGTATATTTGCATAGTTAATGAAACTTTTGGATAATGTTGTCTTGTTGAGAGATGATTTAGATGTTCTTAGATGTTTAGATGTGATGATGTTTTGTGTTTATGACTTAATTTTGTTAATATTTATACCTTTTATTAGTAATTTCGTTACTTTGTTTTTGTTTTTTTAAATAAAAAACATGAAAACTATATAAAATTATATTTTTTCTTAAACTGACTGAAAGCTCGCAAGCCGATCCTAAACCCTCCAAATTAAGGGCCAGACCTAGTAAAATGAGACATTTTAAAAACTTTAGCCCCGTAAGGCCAACCTGTTTAAAGCTACGGCACTATAAGGCCAGCCATATTCCTAACTATTATCACCAAATAAGAAATCCTTACATCCTGTGAGTCAGCATAAACATTAACCTTGTAACCTCCTTTAAACAAAGAGGGTGTTCTTTAAAAATGCTCAAAAGTTCGGATTTGGGGTGTCAACTATCCTATTGCTTTTTTCCTACTTTCCAAATGCCTTTGCTTGTTTTTTTTTTAATCATTAGATTTTACATAAAATGAGTTAAATTTTGATATCTCATCGATGAAAATGGTGTTACTTTCAAATTTTTATGATTTTTCAAAAAAATTGTATCTACATTAAAAAGTAACAGCACCCATTTTAAGTGTTTTTTTTTTAATAAAAAATTTGAAAACAACAACCATTTTTCACTCATGAGATATTGAAATTTTACTCATTTTATGTAAAATTTAATGGTAAAAAGAAACCAAAAAAATCATTTGAGAAGTAGGAGAAAATTGAAAGACAATAGAAATGGTAACGGAGATGGGACAACTGACTCGCCCAAAAGTTCTCATTGTTTTTTTTTTTTAATGAATAGTACAGCATCTAAGCCTGTCCTATTATATTGGAATCATATGTGGGTTAGTCACCCCATCAAAATCATTGTACAAAAACATCTTCAACTTCTAGCATTTACTACGAATTGCCCTCTCTAGGCACATGCTATATTCTGAGCTGCGGCTCACCTCCACTCAATTTTTTCTCTGCATTTTTAACAAATTTGAGCTACCCGATCTTCCAAAAGTTCTCATTGTTAATTTTTGTCAACATAAATTAGAACTTCTAGCCTGAAATTTTCGAAAATATTTGGAAAAACATATGGAAGAGTTCTCTTTACTGAGAATATGGCTAAGCTATCTTTAATATTTTCAAGACAACAACTGCAATAAATCACTATTAACATACATATATATTTTTCCTAATTTTATAGTTATGTCGTATCTGCAGTTATTTATATTAACTTCTGTGAAAAAATTTGCTGAATAATAAATCATAGAATGTATCCATTCATATATATGGCTCATATTATATCGTAAACTAAACTTACAATTTAATTTCGTTATTCAAAATGCGCGGAAAAAAAAACATACAACACACTAAATACAATTGCTTCATAATTAAATATGGAAAATAATTGTTGGCAAAAAATACTAAAGAAAATAAATTGTAATTCTTTTGGCCAAAAGGAAAAGGAATAATTAATTTGATGGTATTTAGAGTTTCATCATATTTTGAATTGAGCCCCTCTAATCTTATTTTATTTTATTGAATCCTTATATTTTATCCTGTTAAACCTACAAATCTTTCGGTTAGTTAATCTTCCAAACATGTTAGAGAGTGAGGTGGCATTGAAGAAGTGTTCGAAGTTCACCAACAATCCTATTGTTAAAACAATCCAACAAGCATATCTCAAACTATTGATGATGAGGCAGATTTTTTTCTTTAGATTTTTAAGGTAGAAAATATTTCACTTAAACAGATTTTCAAAAAAAAAAAAAAAAAGCACTCAAGAATCATTACCTTGAATTTGTTTTTAAGAGTTTCTTTTCCAGAACATAAACCCTTTCAACAATTTCACCATTCATCTAGTCCTAAAAAGATAAATGGTCGTTAAATGAAAAGGCGTTAAGACAGTAGCTTTGATGAAGAGATCTTTGTTCAAGATTCTTGTATTATCCACATTTTTTTATATATAGTGCTCATGTCGTCTTCCTTGTTAAAAACAGCTATTAGGATCAAGAGATGGTTAAGCAACACTACCATCACCTAAATGTTGAACACCGGTTGAAAAAGGAGCTTTTCTTCTCGTTCTCAATGGCAAAGTGGTTTCTAAGAGAGAGAGAGGGCACATGAGCTTTTTAGTGTGGTAGAGAAAAACAGAAGTATTGATATCTATGGAGTTGCTTCAATGCCACCTCACCTTTTAATATATTTTTTTTGGTGAAAACAGGGGCCCAGCCCATTACATTACACAACTATTACAAACAGAAAAAAAACCTCTTCTGGGAAACTCAGTTCCAGCTAAGTCTTTCTCGAGTATGCTCCGTACTTTCAGGCGGTGGAGTGTCCCAAATGATTCTTGGAGATTCAATCTGTAGACTAAGGTGAGCAAGTTTGTTCGCTGCTCAATTCCTTCTCTAAAGAGATGACTGATTTTGATTTGCCAATCCCCTTGCATCATCTCCTGAATTTCCTGGAAAATATGAATATGTCGGCTTCTCTCTTTATTTTGCACTAACACCTCACCTTTTAATATTATCATTAATGATGTTTGGAAGATTAATTAACGGAAGGATATGTTGGTTTAACAGAATAAAATATAAGGATTCAATAAAAATAAAATAAAACTAGAAAGACCTAATTTAAAATCTGATGAAATTCTAAGCACCTTTAAATTAATTATCTCAAAGGAAAATAAATAAGACATTTTCTTTCGGCTCATGCGGACTATAGTATAGTGAAAGATTCAACATTTGACCCGTCTTGTCCTTCTACTGCCAGGCAACCGGGGCAAGAATTAACCGACCCGTCTTGTTGTCCACTATGTAACCCCTGGTCATCAGGATCCTCCGTTCCCGCTCCATATAAATTAGCTTCAGCGTCGAACTCTGACAGTGAAGAAGCGCCAGCGTCAGCAACTGTCTACATTTGTTAAAGCTACTGTAAACTGGTTTGTGATTCGTTGAAGTGCTTCTATTTAGGAATTTTGCCTTGCCTTCCTTTATTTATAGGTATTATATGCTTCACACTTGCTCTTTTTTACCCCACCAATTGTGTGTGGTTGCCAAGAAAATTGGCTGCAAAAAGATTTTTTTTTTCCTGAAATTTATTTACTGCGGATTCGTGTTAAAATTTCAGTAATTTAAAGAACTTTACGCGCCTTGGTAATAGAAAGCGGAAGATTGATTCTCTGTTTGTGCTTTTCAGTTGCTGTATTTTAATTCATGTCATTCTTTCTCATTTTTCCGCTTTTCAGGAAACGATTTTCTTCGAAAGGTATATTCTTCAGACCTGGGGTTTTTACATTTATCACTCATCGGCAGAAGAATATGAGCATTGTTCCCAAAGAGACCATAGAGGTGATTGCACAAAGTATTGGGATCAATAATTTGTCCCCTGATGTTGCCCTTTCTCTGGCTCCTGATGTGGAATACCGAATGCGAGAGATTATGCAGGTGGCTTTATAAGCGGAACCCTCCGCCTCTTTCTTATTCTTTCTTATCTAAGCTCTTTATTACTAACGTTGGCACAGTTTTCACAACATAATGATTTCCCTTGATTCGTGAGTGGAGATAGAAAACGCTGTTCAAGCCCCTATCTTCTTATTCCTTTTTGTATTTGCTGCATTTGTATTACTCTTTTTGTTACGAAGTGGGAGGATTGGAGATTCAATATCAATCTTTGAGATGTGCATGAGCTTTTGTACACTGACTTCAAGAAGAACAAATAGAGGCAGGTGCCTGGTTTTGTTGGTTTTTGTAGATAAACTGATTAGAATAAGCATATTTTACACTTTAATTAATTCAGAAAATAAATTTGGAAAGAACGATTCCAACTGTAAAACATGCTATGAGAGGCATATCTTGCTTTCTTCCTGGCTGTACCTTTTGGAGGTAGAAAGGATGGCGGCAGTTATAATACGCTGACTAACTCCTGAAGAGTAGGGAAGAAAGTTTATACGGTTAATAAAATTGTACTGAGTTCAAGGTGGACCTTATTTTAACATAGTTTATATCAACCACAGGAAGCAATCAAATGCATGTGTCACTCAAAGAGAACAACATTAACAGCAGATGATGTTGATTGTGCACTCAACTTGAGAAATGTTGAAGTAAGTATTTCAGTATCTAAGTGGCTGGTTAAAAGAGCAGCTTTCTGTTTTTTTTTAACACATTTTTTGGAGATATTATTTGCCTGTTTCTGCCTTTTTTGGGTTATCTGAAAATTTTCATTTCCAAATTCAATGATTGATGCAGAAGGCAATGAAACTGTGAATTTTTAGTGTTTTGGGCTGAATTTCATAAGCAGATTGAAAGTTAATATATTTGCATATCATCTCCTTCATGTTATTATTGTGAGGAAATGGATCTCGCTAAACAGTGTTAGTTGTAGATGTAATGCTTCTTATACTTAAGTGTGTTTGAAAAAATAATTTCTAAGTACCAACCATTCGTTTCAATTTTATAAAGAGCTATGATCTAGAATTCCATCCAGGGGGGCATTTTACCCCACTCGCAGTATGCAATAATAGGACATAAGGAAAGGAACTATCAAATTAGGTTGCCTCCATGCATAAGCTTTAAATGTTAGTCAGATGACAGTTTTATCAGGGCTGCTTCATTAGGCAGCAAAACCGTACGCAACATTAAATGATTAAGATAAGCTCGTTGAATTTACTTTAGGGATAACTTCAGAAATTGGTAGTTTCCATTATACATCCTATGATAATGATCTTGTGTGCAGTGTCAGAAAACTCCTGGAATTGGTAGGTGATTACTTGATACATGCCATGCCATATAAATTGATGTACGTGGTGGACAATAATTCTTTTTATTGGGTCTCCAATCATATTTTGACTTTTTATATGGCAGCCAGTATATGGATTTGCCTCTGGCGGTCCTTTACGGTTCAAAAGAGCTGTTGGACACAGAGACTTGTTTTATATAGATGACAAGGATGTTGATTTAAAAGATGTAAGGAACTACTGCATCCTTGTTCCCCCAATTGCATTTAGACTTGATATGGTGCAGCACCATGCTAAACTTTCGAACCCTATGCACTTTAGGTTATTGAAGCACCATTGCCGAAAGCACCTCTTGATACTGCAGTTACTTGCCACTGGCTTGCTATTGAAGGCGTACAACCTGCTATTCCAGAAAATGCTCCTATAGAAGGTGTCTCCCTAAATTTAGATACATCTGTTTACATGCATATAGTGCAAGACAGAAAAGCATAATTGCCTCAGTAAGCTCTCGAACATATAAGCAATTGCATATGCTGGGTACCCACGTAAAAATTTTAAAGCTCTTAAGATACAAGGAATTGTTGGGTACTTTTCATTTTATAACTTTCTGCTGATTATGTTAGCATTTCATTATGGCATACTCGTTTTCCTTTACCCACATTATCTTTAAATTTTTTTCATGAATTGTCAGATCATAAATGTGAGCCATGAGTAAGAAGTGATTATAAAACAAGTTCATTATGTCACATTAGAATTTTTAGTTTCACAATGTTCTTTAGTGTGGCAAACAAAAGTACAATGCTTAGAGACCATTTGGTATACCAGTATATAGTGATCCCAATTATTTTGGATGCCGAATTATGAGACAAGAGGCTGTAATATGTCAAGTTGTTTAGGATTCTTGACTCATGCATAACCACCGAAAGTCTCTAGAAAAGGGGTGATATTTTCATAGAAATTGACAAAACTAAATAGAGATGTGAGATGCTGCTCCTTAAAGATTTGCATTCATGCAAGTGGATAAAAGCATTTTAACAACTTGATGAAACCAAGTCTAATATTCGGTCCTTTTTCAAATCTTACATTTGTTAACTATAGTTGACTTGGGCTTGCTTGATCATTTGAAGAATATTTTGACCAAAAGCTTGGCCTGATTTCCAGATTGTATTCTTTTTCTCTTGGCAGTAATTTCAGCTCCTTCTGATACCAAAAACTCTGAACAGAAAGATGATAGCCTTCCAATTGACATCAAATTGCCTGTTAAGCATATATTATCCAGGGAACTTCAGGTATCTGATTTACAGTAGCAAGTATTATCTGCCTTATTTCTCCACCTCAGTTTATTTAGAATTTCTTCTTTCATTGCAGCTTTACTTTGATAAAGTCACGGAGCTCACTATAAACAAGTCTGATTCAGTTCTCTTTAAAGAAGCGTTGGTTAGTTTGGCCACTGATTCAGGACTTCATCCATTAGTTCCATATTTCACATGCTTCATAGCTGATGAGGTAATAATATTTGACTTCTAATAATGTTTTCTGTTGAGAAAGAACTTACAGTGCCAATTCCTCACTTGAACTTTGTGCTTCTCCATCCATGTCAGGTTTCTCGTGGTTTAAGTGACTTTGCTCGCCTGTTTGCCTTGATGCGAGTTGTTAGTAGCCTCCTTCAAAACCCTCATATCCATATTGAACCATATGTAAGTTCACCTTTGATTTAGGTATATTCCTTTGCATGGTTGCTCACACTCACTGAATCATACCTGAGCAAGGGTTTAAATCTTTATATACCTAGCTTAAATTTTATTTCATTCAACATTCACACTTTGATTTTTTTCTTTTTTTCTTTTTTTGGTCTGTAATCCATTCAGCAGAATGTTCAGGTGTTAGAGTTGACCATAATTTGCTAATTTCGTTTTATACATTCCTTGTCATCTCTGGTTAGAAATAGAGAAATGATGCCAGCAGTTGCAACCTAACTGTACTAATTTTTCCTTTTCCTTCCTTCCTTCCATATGTGTCAGCTGCACCAGTTGATGCCATCTGTTGCGACCTGCCTAGTTGCCAGAAGGTTGGGCAGTGGGATGGCAGACAATCATTGGGAGCTTCGAGACTTTACGTCAAAGCTTGTTGCTTCAATATGCAGAAGGTAAGAAATCCTCACTATGTCCTGTTATAATTTATATGCTGTAGAAAGTGTGTCAATGCTAAGGGACCTTAAGATTAAAGCAAAGTTATGGTTGGAAGAACTTGGGGGCTGAAGAATAACACGCAGATTATCGCCCTTGTACATTAATTTTAATTTGCCAAAAAATAACTTGATCGGAAGATAAACTCCTGGATATAACAAAACGTGATAATAGTAAGACTCCTAAAGTGATAGTCTTCAGGGCCCCAAGTCAATAATAGGCATCTAATCCCTAACATTTCCTCCTACTCCGTAACACTCATCCTAGGTTTCCCTATGAACCCCTAATGATGGAGAAACTTTCTAGTTTTTCCTCGTTACAAATGAAATACATTTTACCAGAAAATCACATCAAGGCTCTGGCATTCGGATACTGCACCACAACTAAAAAGGTCTCTCACTTAACTTTTGAGTCCCCCAATCCCACGTGCTCGCGCACCCTCTTTTCCTCTCAGCTGCATTTGTCTAATTTGGTGAGACAATTCCCAGAAATCTTTAACCTAATACCCTTGAGCAGTCCCCTTGATGTTCAGTAAGATGGCTTGTTCATTTCTTTGAATCCTAGAACAACTTCCTAGAAGCATGCCTGGCTTTTAGTCCCACGTCATTGTAGAGTTATCGTTAATCAAGTTTAATGTGCAGCCAAAAATAGTATTTTTTAAGTAGATGATTTCAAAAGCTGTCAATGACTCAAGGTATCTTCTTTGGTTTGAACTCTGTTTGAAGCCATTTAAGATCAGATCTTTCTTTACCTGAACTTACATTCCCATGAATTACGCTGTTTATATTTTATGCTCTTCAAAGTGGGTGCTTTAAGTTAATTAACTTTGATACTATGTTTCTAATGCATTTCGTTAAGAAATATTTGTATTTCATGTTTGTTGTGATCTTTTTGCCTGTCCCACAAATTTCTCTATCTTTAATATTTGTGTGGTGCAGATTTGGACATGTTTACAGTAACCTCCAGTCCCGCCTCACAAAAACACTGCTGAATGCTTTCTTGGATCCAAAGAAAGCAATGACTCAACATTATGGTGCAATTCAAGGGCTGGCAGCTCTGGGACCCAATGTGGTATGTGCTTTTACATGCTTCTGGCAGCTATGGATGTGATTTTCCTTTTATACTTTTTGTTGTTGTTTCCTTTTACTCTATTTTTTCTATTTACAGTTGATCAATATATTTATAATTATTTGACAAATTTTGTGAGCTTGTGACCCTGTAAGTAGGTTCGCCTTCTTGTACTGCCAAATCTTGAACCATATATGCGACTTCTTGAACCAGAGATGCTTCTTGAGAAGCAGAAAAATGAAATGAAGAGGCATGAAGCTTGGCGTGTCTATGGGGCTTTGCTGGTAAGACTTTAGGATAAGGTGGTTTGCTGTGAAATACATCAGTCTCAGTAATATGGTTGGCAGAATCAATGTGTGTATTCTTCAGCGTGCTACAGGTCGATGCATATATGAACTACTGAAGTTGTTCCCAATGTTTCCATCACCTCTTCCTCATGATGTGTGGAAGACCAATGCAAGAGTTGTTACTGCTTCACCCCGTAAGTGTCTCACTTGTTGACTTAAGATGATACTGATCAGTTATTCAAGTAATCGAGGGTAGTATTTCTAAAAGTTAATTAAGAGTAGCATGAGATTCAAACCTGATCATGTGAGTGAAGACATTGACAGTATGTGGTTTGGAACGAGTTTATGAGACCCTTAGGAGTGAGATCTGCATGTCACTTAATTGATCAGATTACCATGAGGGAGTAAGCATTTCATTGCGAACCATGCCTAAGTCCAGTCAAAATTATCATTACTAACCGATGATATGATTGCCTAGCAGACTATGAATTCATTATCCTTTTTTTTTTTTTTTGGGGAAAAAGGCATGCCCACCTTTTCTTCCGTAGCATCCTCTGTTAACTGATATAATTATTAGTTACCGACTTCAATGATTTCCAGTGAGTCCTCAATGTTATAGTGCTTTCAAAAAGTAAGCTCAACTGCATGCCTTTTTATGAGTTTGGAATTTGAGTCTCTGTCTCTCCAATCATTGCTTGTCTAGGTAAACGCAAGGCAAGCTTGGAGCAACCAGAACAGCAGCCGCCTGAAAAGAAAATTGCGACTGATGGTGAGGTTGGGGCAGTTCTGACAAATTCCTCACCATCTCATGGTGAAGGGATGAAGGGGATCCAAGCTTCGTCAGCTGACTCAATCATGGATCCATCTCCGTCCGAGAGACGGACGAATGAAGCCATTTCATATGTTGGGGTTAAAAGTGATGAACAGAGAAGTAGGGCGCCTAAGACATCTGCTGCTCTTGCTCAGGTTTGGAAGCATGAACTGAATTCTGGACGTATGCTGATGTCACTGCATGATCTGTTCGGGGAAGCCATTCTTTCCTTCATTCCATCTCCTGAGATGTATATGATCTTGTAATTTGTAACATCATTTTGTTCTTTAAGATCCTCCAAAATGAGCATAAATTTAAGTATTGCTGTAATGCATTGACACAGGAATCAGGATGAGAATGTAAATGTGATTCACCTCATTTCTTGTTTTCCACTCTTATTTATTTTTTAATCTCTCTGTACCTGTGAATATATTATATGATTTACATATAGAGATTTTGTAAGAAAAAATTTTAATACTACCTCTGATTCTTAATATAATATCTCGTTTGACTATTATTTTGGTTCTAAATATAATACTCAAGTATATTTTGTTTCTCATATTTATTTATTTATTTTTTAAGATAGTCTTTTTAATAGTAGTATTTTTGGCCAATAAACTTGAATGGTAAGAATATTTTAAGAAAGATAACATCTATTTAGTACAAACAACTAATTTAATTTATTTTCTGAATCTACTCAAATTAATTAATTAGTTTTTATATTTAGGACTAGAGATAGTATATTATAAAGCATTTAGATTTAATATCAAATTAAACTAGACGTTTGCAATGCAACTGTATTGAATAAAAATGAAGGAACAGAAACCCCGATTGAGAGGAAAATAAAGCAGCCGTCTCAAAGTAATTGCTTTGGAGTGATCAAATCATAGGAAGTGGCATGATTTGGACAGGAGTTAAAAACGAACAGTGCTACACAAGAGTTTTTAAGATGTCCTTAAGCCGCAACCGTGTTTGATTCTCTTTGAACAGCTTTCTTGAGGATGCTATCTTCCTCCAAAACCATCTGAATAGGCAAGAATCCCATTCCATCTGCCATAGCCAGCAACATCTGCCTGGTCTCCTCCTTGAATTCTTCCAGATCAACTGTCCCGTTCAAGTTGTGATCGAATTGCAAGAACAAGGAATCGTAAACCTGAGGTAAACAAAAATAACCCTTTTTAGCAATCTGTTTGTATTTTGAAGAATCCCAGAAGAAGGAGAAGGAGAAGAAGAGGAAGAACCTGAGCAAGCTCATCTGGGTCAGGCTGCACATCGATGCCAAAGTGAGTCTCAAAGACCCTTAGACTCTGCAACTCCTTCAGCATCTCAGTGTAGGAGAGAAGACCATCATTGTCTGCGTCAAGGTAAGCGAACCTGTCTTGCACTATGAGATTGAATGCTTCTTCATCCTCCAGGAAATTGACTATGGTGGCACCATCCAATATTTCTACGCTCATCTTCACTGCTCAATGGATTGAACTGTGTATAGTGTGCTTGGTCGTGATATTCACCAAGAGATATGGTTTTCAAGGGCGCAAGTTTCTTGAAGAAAGCTAACTGGCTTGCTGCAAGTACTTATAGCCAAAAGGAATATATTCTGACTAATGCACAGTGATAGAATATTATTTCTATTTTGGTCAAAAAGATTCGTTGGGAGCTTGCCCAATGAATTAGTTTGATCAAAAAATTGGGTTGGGATTGTGTGGTATGCCGTGGATTCAAATTGTTTCTAAGTATTAAAGTTCGGAAGAAACTTCTCCTTCAGTTCAGGGACACAGCAGCATCCTCTGTTTTGCGAGGAATCTGGATGCTTGTAAAAATAGAATTTCAGCATCATATTCCTAATATTAAATAAATTAAGACTGCAATTTTTCATTTTAGTTGACCAAAAGACATGGTTAAAAACCTTGTTCTCTCGTCAACTGTTTAACTTTGTCTCGGAATATTCTTAAGATTTAGAACAAGGACCAAATTGTAGGCTGCCGACCGCCTCTGGTGCTTTGTGCAAGTTGGGCATAACCGACTGCGTGCATTAAAATGAAAATTTAAATGTATGTGTTTATTCTACTCTATTTGGAGTGAACAAATGAACATTAAAAAAAAGTAATAAATGTAAAATAAATTTGAAAGACATATACATAGCATGTTCTGGAAGAGTTTGTGGAGCATTATTAATTGTTTTATTCCCAAGATGCTTCTCTTGTCAATCTCCAGTAAGAGTATAGAAATATGTTTTTGTCAAATTTATGATGGGTGAAGATGGAACCAAAATAATTTTAGGACAATTTGTAATTATATTGCACCTGATAGTAATTTTACGCAAATCAATAAATTCAGTGAAAATTGATTATTTCTTGTAAAAAATTATCCTTAATAAAAGTTATTAGTTAGAGGGGTTTGTTTTTTATAATTTAATTAAATAAGAAAGAGAAAGAGTATTAAATAGGGAGAATTTCAGGGAAAAAACCTTGAAATTATCATTTCTCAATTCAAGCACATGAGAGTTGGAAATGACCAAGTAGGAAGCGGTGTTTGGTTTTATATTTTGCAAATATAATTAAATAACTAAAATATTCTTGTATCAAATTTTTATTAAAAAGAAAGTTATTAAACTTATCATTGTCAATGCCGTTTTGTTATTAGTGTTCAATACTTATTATTGTCATTTCACAATTTGTTAATAAATACCTTATTATTGTTAGTATATTTCTTTTCATTTGCTGTTCAATACTTGTTATTATCAGTTCATAACTTACTAATAAACTTTTTGATATAAAGACATTTTAGTAATTTAACTATATTTATAAAAGGGAAAATCCCAAAAAAACCCTTGGAATATAGAAAATTCCAGATTAGGTCTTAGAATTATGTAAATAACAGAAAGGATCAATAATCCAATCTGTCATTTGTAAAATCAAAAAGAATTGATAATTTTGTCCTCATTTGTATTCGTTTACTACAATGATTTAAGGAATCACTATAAGGGTTTAGGTGTTATCTAAATTCGTGTAAAGAATAACTATTTACTTTTTCATAGTCAGGTGCCTTGTTATTAACTACAACAAATCATATAATCACCAGAGCAATGTAAGCATTACCTAGATTCGTGTAGAAAATAACTACTCACTTTTTCGTAGTCAGGTACCTTGTTATTAATTACAACTAATTATGTAATCACTAGAACAGTGTAAGCATTACCTATATTTATTTAGAAAATAACTATTCACTTTTACTTAGTCAGGACAAAGTTATCAATTCCTCTTGATTTTACAAATGACAGATTGGGTCATTGACCCTTTCTGTCATTTACACAATTCCAGGACCTAATCTGAAATTTCCTATATTCTAAGAGTTTTTTTTGGGATTTTTTCTTTATAAAATATCAAATCAGATATCACTTTCTTTGTTTAGATTTTGAAGTGTCATGTGCTTGGTTTGGAATATCACATTTTCCAACATCTTTATTTCTCATTTTGCTATTAAATATTAAATATTGGGAGAATATGTGTATATGCTATGTGGCCGAATGCTGTAGATAGATAAAATAAAGAGTTAAATATAAAGAGAGCGCGTGGCTGAGAGAGAATCCAATGGCCGCAGTACGCGTTGGGAGGTCAAAAATTGGAGGAGCTTCTTTCCTGTTGCGTGGGTTGTAGGCTAAATCTCTGTTTTCGTTGACCAACAGAAAATGCTTAGAAACAATATGACCCGCCGCTTATTGTATTACCAAATCTAATTAAGACTTTAATATTAAAAAAAAAAAGTGAAGAGGTTAAACTATGGTCCGCACGTTGTCCTTCTAGTTCTAGTGGCTCTGAGCTTAAAGCATCCTTTTGTGTTTGTTCTCTCACTCCCATTCATATCCCATTGCATTTCCTTCAATTGATTCTTCCACTCTTTTTCTCTTTCCCAGTAATAGGTGCTTTTTTTCTTTTGTTCTTGACTTCAATATTAAGTTAAATCCTCTCAATTCTCATTCCTACATTTAATTAATGAATAAACAAATCAATAGTTTCAAATGTGTTTTGATATATTTTGGTCTAAAAAAGGGCTTGTCTTTCAAAATTACATACTAATTCTCTCTCTCTCTCTCTCACTCTGAAAAATGTGGAAATCCCTTTGAAAATTGTGAAAAGCTTTTCTCATGAAGTTAACGATGAAGAAAAATTATGGGCTGAGATGCAAATAGGCCAAGAGGAGGTTAATTATATTTAGCATTGTTTTTATTATGTTTTAAACTCTTATTTGAACTTTTTGTTATGACTTAAGTTTTATTTTGATCTTTGTTAATCTTAATAAAAATCAAAATAAAACATAAATCAGAACCAAAAAAAGTAGACAAAAGCTTAAAAGAAAATGAAAAATAATACTTCTTTTGGTTCTAAATATAAAACTCGTTTTGTAGTGTAAATCTCACTTTATAGTGTAATTTACACTATAAAATAAGTCTTATATTTAGGACAGGAAGAGTACTAAATATAGTTAATCTTATCTAAGCTTTTTTGTATTTCATCCTATAATTTTTGTTTTTCGTTGACTTTAGCAGAGCAGTCTTCCACAATTCTCAAAGCGTTCATATTTTTAGAGAGAACAAGAATTGGTACATAATCTTGAAATGCAAGTTTTTTTTATTATAGAAGAAGATATATCCAAAACACGTTCTGAAGCTATTTTAATTTTTTTATTCATTAGCTAAATATGAAAATGAAAAAAATTGAAAAATATGAACTTAAAATTGAAGTAGGAAAAATAAAAACACACCTGTCACTAAAAAGAAAGAAATCATGTGAAGGCGCAGCAATTTCATAATGCGTAATTGGAATGTTTCATAACTGTATGCGTTAATTAGGTAACTTTAAGTTCAACATTTTTGTGTTAATAGATCGTGTATTTTAATTTATGAAGTAATTTTCTGGTAAAAAGAAATTTATGAAGTAATTAGACACTTTTTTCATCTTACACATAAATCTAATATAAATTTAATTCATACTATTTATGACTTAGAGTGTAATTTATTATAAATTTTATTTTATATATTCATAAAATGATGACAATTAAGATGCTTGTTATCTTAATTATATTGGAGTTAGGACATGATGTTAAAAAGAAAACATATCTCTATGATTAATTTATATCCATATGTATAATCTTACCTGAGTCACACTATTTTTATACAAACTAAGAATATTGTCACTTGTTTTTAGAATTTATTATTCACAAGCTACGAATAGTTTGCCTTGCATGAGATTTTCGTATACCTGATCATAATTATTGAATAATAATTTGAATTTAAAATTTTTCAGCTAAAATTTTTTTGTTTAAATCAGTATATTATTTTGTTAAAATGAAAATCATCATGTTCACATTTCAAGCGAGGAAAATCATTTAAATATATTGAAAACTTGAGGATTTCGCATATAACTTCCAACATGTAACTCCTCTGCTCTAACTAAACTTGTTATTTCATTCATAGAAAATGATACATAGTGCAAATTATATTTTTTAGCTTTATACAAGGTTTTGATTTGATCCCCTTAATTTTAAAAAAGACATTTTTAATCCTTTAACTTTAGAACTCTTAGTCTAAAATGAATAATCATGATTGTTTGAAAATTAAATTTAATATATTAATATTTGAACATATTTTATTAACATTCAAAATCTCAATTTCATTATCTTTTATTAACGGTTTTAGAGTCAAAAGAAATTTTTCAAGGTTAAGAGATCAAAATTGAAACATGGTATAGAACTAAATGTTTTAGCCATATAATTATCTTTAGCTTCACTCATGCAAACCTGAATTAAATACCACAGCTATAAATAAACACACATACAAAGACCTAGAAACGTGGAGAATACAAAATCAATGAACCTTGAAGTGTAAATGGGATCCTGAGCATATGCATAGCTAAAAACACAAGAACAACATTGGCAAGGCAAGAGAGCGTACATACATATGTAATTAAGAAGAATATGGGGAATTGAGGAACATAATGGGTATAGCAAAATGATCAGTTGAAAGCAGGCAGAAGCTTGGCAATCAAGTAATGAGAGACAATCTGGTTGGTTTTCTGGGTGGGATGGAAGGCGTCCCAGAACACATACTTGTCGGCGTCTTTGCATGTCAATGGATTCTTGTCGCTGCACAGATAGCTCATCTCGAATGTTCCTGTCGAGCAACATGCCTTCTCCACTACTTCAAATCCTGCCCATCCACCACCTCAATCTCATCACTTTTTCTTCTTCAATTATACATTTCCATACTTAAATATATAGTTATATGAGTTTAAAAGAATATGTATTAACTGGTTGGCCTTAACCCTTTGCATCACCAAGGATGGGAGCAGAGCACATCTAACACTTGTTTATATCAAGGGTAAAGATTCACAGAAGTGATGTAAGTATTCTTTCTTCTAACAAGTTCACACACACACACACACCAATGTGCTTAATATAAGAATTAGATGTTGTCTTCTTTAAGAAACTCCTTAACATGATCACCATAAAGATTATTTAAAATAAAATGAATAAATTTTAAAGACAAAGTGAATTAAAGTCTTATATTTAAAACTAAATTAAGTTTTCACATAACTCTTATAAACGAGAGGTAGTATAATCAAAAATTAAGCCCCGACAACATGTTTAGAAGACTCAATTATTAGTTAGGACTTTCCTTAATATCATAATGGCGCTAGCAGATGATCCAAGTCAACGAATCAAAGAAAAAACGGACAACTAATTTTGTGCAAATGCAGCGACATAGAATAGTAATGTCTATGTACTACTTCCGCTCCTTAATATAAGACCCCGTTTGACTTTTAATTTGGTTCTAATTATAAGACTCCAATCCATTTTGTCTCTCATATTTATACATTTTTTTCCAAGATAGTCCTTCTAATAATGATAGTTCTAGCCAACACACTTAATTAGTAAGGATATTTTAGGAATGACAACACTTATTTGTTACAAATAACTAACTTAACTTACTTCTTTAATCTCCTCAAATTAGTTAATTGGGTCTTATAATTAGGACCGGAAGTAATATAATATATATGTATATCTGTGTGTGTGTGTGTGTGTTGTTGAGTAGATGAGTGTTTTTGAGGACCAAATTAACAATGAAAAAATTTATGTAAAAGTTAGAGTACGGAAAATTGAATTGAAGTGCTTAACCTACTGCCGGGGAAGGGAAAGAGCAGGCAAAGTACATGATCAAGTCAGATAGAAGAGACAACATATAGCCCCTTAGTCCTTGGGTCATTTTCACCTCACAACACATTTAGAGCCACGGTGCATATCTAGAATTGTTATTATTTAATTTGTGTCTTTAATTAATAAAAAGATTGATGATCAGTTACTTTTTTAATGCCCAATATTGTTAAAATATAAAATAAAATTTACTAGATAAACATACACGGCAAGATTGTTTAATTCCTTCTTTTTTTTACCCTTCCAAATTTGGGTACTTATGTGCAACTTTCGCTAGGACCTCTATAGGGTGTTTGGTTTGTGCAACTAGGCTTAGAATTAATGGTGGGAAGTAAAGGCAAACCTAAAAGTTTTGAGCACACCTGCAAAACCAACTCAGTATGGCCACTGGTCAGTAATTACAATTCCAACTAGCTTCTTCATTATTCAAGCTTTCATATATATATATATATATATATCATTATTAATTACAGTCACAGAAGCAAGCTAAGCCGTACAAGGTAGTTAGATAATAACACTGCTCCTGATTCATAATAACTAAGCGTGCCAGGGAACATCAATGTGGGACGGTAGTTATATTCATACAATATCACTATTACAGTGTCGAAAGAGAATGGTCACTGTTTAAGTTTAAATCACATTGCCACTAGGTGTGTTTTTTTTTTTTAAATAGAGAAATAAAAACTAATGATTTGAGATTACAAGTGGGAAGAAACTTGGTAACCTCTAATTTTCATCGTGCCATTAACCTACACAATCATTGGCCACTAAGGTTTGATTTCTTCTACCTTCCTTATAGACCCTCTCAATCAATATTGCTTGAAAGTGTTCTACTTTTACGAGTCTTTAATTTTATTAAAAAATTATTAAACTTATAATACTAGGAAGGTGCCTATATTTTACTAAAATAATTGGGTATGGTACATAGTTTCTAACATTCGAAAATTATTGAAAAGAGTCACATATATCTATATATACACAGATACTGATTCTTTTTCTAAAAAAAAATCCATTTATAGAAATTAAATGAAATAAGTAAATCCTCTATTTTGGAAATACGAATAATAACTCAATATATTTGGAAACATGTCTTCGTCAAAATTAACAATTTAATAAATTGCAAGCAAATCAGGTAGGTGTCGAGTTGTAAATGAGCAATAATAACTAGTCAATGTCTCACGGACCCTACCGTAGAAAGTGAGCGGAACATAAGGGCAAGATCATTACTTACAGACATCATGTCTAAAAGCAGATAATCCTACCATTAACGTTGTAATAATAATAATAATTAATGTTTTGTTTATTACTCCCTCCACTCCTATATATATAAAAGCTTCAATTAACCGAATCATGTTTAACAAACTAACGGTTAAAATTAGTTAAAAATAATAAATATATATAAGGGGTCAAAAAAATTTTTTTTTAAATTTGTCCTTACCTGTTAAGAGAATAAATAAGAGAGACAATAAATTAAAAAACTAATAAAAAAGAATATATGTGAATAATATTAATGTGAGAGGGGGGTATTACATATGGTCAATTATGGGCAAAATAAGAAGAAAAATTAATAATAAATGCTTAAACAAACTTAAAAATAAAACTTATATTTTGGATTAAACTTTTTTTTTTCCAAAAATGAAGCTTATATATATAGGATTGGAAGGAGTATAATTTTGACTCAGACACCCCTTGCTTATGTTTTCCTTTTGTATAGGTGAGATATCGCTACCATTTGAGAATATATAATTTTATTTTTTAAAAAATAGGAACTAATATTTTAAATAGATAAATTACAAGGACTAAATTGTATCATAGATTGAATTAAAATTAAATCAAAATTATAAGGATTAAATTATAATCAATGTGAGAAGGATAATTACCGAAAGAGGAAGGTTTGGTGATAATCTCATTGACGAAGTCGTATGCGTTGGCAGAGACCGTTTTGAGCAGAGGCAGCTCCTTGGCCAGCCTGTTTAACATAATCTCGAGCTTCTTGTTGAACCCCAAAGCGACGTCGTTGTACTTGTCATCACAGTCGTGATGGCCTAAGATGTTGACGGTCCTCTCCAGGGGAAGGCAGCCAATGGGGACGAGCCCCGTGAGGGAGAGCTTGCGAGCTCCGAGGTGGTAAAGCTGCGTGATGAAATTGTGAGCGATGTCCACCAGAAAGTCCTGGTACTGCGACACACTGAATTGAAGCCTCCTTGTTGGGAACACGAAGTAGTTCTCTAAGAAATCGTTTGTTCCAAGGCTCATCAAGTAAAGTGCCTCACTTATCACCTTATTGGCCTTCTCTACTCCGAGATAGTCTCTCAGTTTTGCTTGATACTCTTTGTAATATTCCAATTCCTTCCACAGTGGTATCACATTCTGTACACAAATATATATATGTTTAATCACATTATTAATTAATCATAATATTTCACATTCATTTGTGTTTCATTTCAAATTTTTCTAATTAAATTTGTCAGGAAAAAAAAAGCAAGTATTTATAATCAGGTATTTACATTTTTTTAGATGTGTTGTTGTATGTGTAAATAAGTAGTAATAAGGAGAGTAGACATTTAGCAGGTGGGAAGATAGATGTATTAATTTTATGCCAAGCAATGTACGCTCAACTGGTAGGTGACGACCGACCATTCATGAAAATACTTTATTTTTTCTTAAGGCTAAACAGCGTATGTTTAGTGTATGTTTTAATTTCACACAAAGTCTTATTTTGATTTCTTAATTTGGTAAAGTATATTTCTAGTCATATAACGCCTCACATTAATATTAGGATTTGAGTGGTCTTAACTCCAGTTCTAAGTATAAGATCTAATGTGTAGTATAATTTGCATTACAAATTAGATCTCATGTTTACGATGAGAGATGATACGAGCTAATTTCTTACCAAATTGAACTATCTTTTATTGGTTTGGTGTATTTTTGGCTTTGATGTTGCTTGCATTTTTTCAAGTCAGACAAAATCTATTTTGAGTAAAATATCTTTTTCAAGAAGATAACATTTTTAATTTACTAACTTCAGCCAAGACGAAAAAAATACTGACATATATTTTATAAAAATGGAATTAAAATGTTAACTAACTATATTTACTTGCAAAATAACATAGAATTAATGCACATAGCAAGTCATGAAAACCTTAGAAATATTTTAATGAAAATAGACTTAATAATGAAAGATGTATGATGAAGCCATGCGATATGGGATCATCTTTTTATATCTCATTTCATTTAACAAGTAAGTCGGACAGATTTAAACAAGTCTTATATATAAGTGCATTCCACCTACTTAAGTGAAATTGGCAAACTTTGAAGAGCATTCGAATCGTTAAATATGTTTTGTAAGTAATTATCTTCCTCCAAACAAAGATCAATGACTTACGTCGTACATGGAAAAGAATCTTAATCAAATTCTTCAAAACATCGCCGACAAACAAAAGACTATACGTAACCCTATTTTGGTACAAAAATCAAACAGAGGGCTCAAATCAATCATTCAATAAACCCTAATTTCTGTAAGTTGTTGGAAAGAAGAAGCATGAGAACGAAGAAGACTTACAAGCACATCAGAAGTTGCATTATCATAACCCGTTCCTGCAGAAGCAAAGCAAACTCCAGTGGCAAAATCTTTGATGGAGTACGACGGATCCAAGTACGCAGGCACGTAGGGTTTGATACCGAGCGCCTCGGAGATGAAGTCCGGCGGAACCCGGCCATTGCAGAACCGTCCGGTGGGGCGGCCTCCCTCGAAGTCACGGCCGTATGGCCTGAAGTTGCTCTTGAGAACGGTGGCGATCTTGTTGTTGTTCCCAGAATCCACAGAAGAGTCTCCAAAAACTATCACCGCAGGAACCTTATTATTGCAAACGACATTAACGAAATGGGTCGTCGCCAAAAGCAAAGTTAGTAATATTATGTGTATGCTTTCCATTTTCTTGCAGAAAGCCTGCTGGATATTGAATGACACACACGCTGGGATATATATATATATGCATTTTTACCATGCAGTTGTAATCAGAGAGAGATTATATTGGAAATGATAATAATAGTGTGAGGGGCAATTAATTAATAAGCAGATAAAGTTTGGTGGGAGATTGAATTTAATTTAGTGGATTTTTTTTCGGGGGCCCAAACAATCTGGTGGACGATATAGAGATTTTATGGGTGTGTTTGTGTATGAAAAGTTGCCAAGAAATGAAAAAAAACCATATCAGGCATAAAAAATTTGGCAATTGGCTGACCAATAAATAATGTATATAATTTAGTAATTGATTATTAAGGCAACGAAAAGGAAAGTCTGGGGTTTGGTGAGTGGGTTTAAAACACCGATAAATATACAGACGAAGACGCTTATTTATTACTACACCAAAGAAAATAATAATTTGAACGTCCAAACGATAGAGAGTAAGTTAAAAGCAACGTATTTTTATGTAATCAGTAAACTGCTGTAGATACTCTGCTTAACTAATTTAGAGAGGTTAAAAAAGTTACTAAATTATATAATTATAGCATATCACTCTGTTCCTTGTTCTAAGTTACTTGTAGCCAAACCCGCAAACCAAAAAATACATTAAATTAACCAGTTTTTTTTTTCTATATTTACCCTTATTAAAAGTTGTGAGAGAGAGGGGGAGGGGATGAGTTGCATAGGAAATGAAAAGTTAAAAGAGAGATAGAGAGGGAGATTAATTAATTTTTTTATTAAATTAATAGGAGTAAAATTGGAAAAAGATCATTAATTATACTATAAGTGACTTATATTTTAAAACAAACTTTTGAGGTACAAGTGACCTGTAATAAGGAATAGAGTGGTATGTTACATGATTTGTTTAAAATAATTATGTGCATTATTAGATTGTATATCAATTTATTATAAGTGAGGTAAATTAATTTTAAAAAAACAATAAATATAAATAGTTTAAAATAATTTGGTAACTTTTTAATCATTCCAAATTAATCAATTTATTTTTATATTAAGAACTGAAAGTAGCATCATTTTTCTTGGCAAAGAATTTGTTACTTTCGGATCAAACTAGTATATTAGCATTAAAATATTTTCAATAAAAAGAATAATAAATTTTTTTAATATTTCTCCAATCTTAAATATAAGACACCTTTTGTAGTGTAATTTACACTATAAAAGGTGTCTTATATTTAGAACCACAGGATTATATATATTTTTTGATATGGTATTTATTGATTAGTTATGTTGAGCATTCACAAAAGGGAAAAACCTAATTATTATTGTTTTGGCAAAAAAAAAAAAAATGAAATGAGATAATGGTTACGTAGGGAAAAAAAGAAAGAAAAAGAATAGTAGAATATTCTAGAAGGTTTGAAGGCTATCAAGGAGATGTGAAGATTAACGAGAATTTATAAATATTTTTTAAAAAATTTTGATTTTATTATACTTTTTAGATTTTAGCACTTAATTTTTAAATTTTTAGAATGTCGTGCATTTAATTCATCGAGTGAAAGGTGATGCTGTAAACTAATTAAATACTAAATAACCCCCTAATACATTTTATTTTGTACGCTTTTTGATAAATTGACTAAATTAAAGTTGAGATTTGAATACTCTTTTCCTATCTAGCTATCTCCAATTCTTCTCTTCTTCTCACTATTATCATGGCAACGCAACTACGGCAGAAACCACAAAATAAAAGTCACGTGGAGTAGTTTATAAGTATAATCGCAAAGTTTATGTCAGATGATTATATGACAATTATTTTTTCATATCACACTTTCTAATCAAAATATTTATATTGCGACTTTGACTTGGGTGTGATCTAAATAAACGTGCAGCAAGTTGAAGCTAATCAATGTTTAAAAACCAGATGGCATATCAATTGATCTGACTGAAGAAATATTGATACAGCCAATTAATGAATTTAATTATGATTCTGGTTCTGGCTGCGAGACAAAAAAAAATCAATTCTAAATTGATTAACCTGTCCAATAAATTCATTTTAAGATGGTTTGTTGGAGTTCATATTTTTCTTCAAAAAAAAAAATAAATCTTTATAATCTTCTACTAGTACTTTTTTGATCCTTAAT